TTCAAACTGTTTTGGTCATTAAGCAGTTTATTGGTTTGAAAAATAATGTCAAAGGCATATTTTTTTCCCCTTCAAACAAACAAAAAATCTAAATCATTCATCTTAATGTAATATTTCCTCATTGCGGTTGACTAATTCAGTCCGACCATCACTTGACATGTGTGTGTCTTGGAATGTCTTAGACTACCTTGTTACCAATTTGGCAACCAACTTTTGACTTGATGAGCTAAGTAAATGATCATCTTTAAAAAATAAAGTAACTCATAGAGTATGTAGATAGGAATAAGCAACTCATAATTTAGAATTCAACCCTAAACATGGCTATTCCACAAGTATATCCTATTAAATTCCAACATGCATCTGAACACCCATCACAGGGGAACAGCCTGTGGGCTTCTTCCCATAGGCATCTGGTTGTCCACAGTGAGAAACAGTTCCCGGACTAGACGGGCCTTTGTTCCAACACCGCAAGGCTCTTAAAGGTAAAGGTAAACGTACCCCTGCCCGTAGGGGCCAGTCTTGCCAGACTCTAGGGTTGTGCGCTCATCTCACTCTATAGGCCAGGAGCCAGCGCTGTCTGCAGACACTTCCGGGTCATGTGGCCAGCGTGACAAGCTGCATCTGGCGAGTCAGCGCAGCACACGGAACGCTGTTTACCTTCCCGCTGGTAAGAGGTCCCTATTTATCTACTTGCACCCGGGGGTGCTTTCGAACTGCTAGGTTGGCAGGCTCTTACTATGTTCTTATTCCCAAATAAGTATCTATAAGGGGTTTGTGGGGGATGCGGGTGGTGCTGTGGGTAAAACCTCAGTGCCTAGGACTTGCCGATCGTATGGTCGGCAGTTCGAATCCCCGCGGCGGGGTGAGCTCCCGTCGTTCGGTCCCAGCTCCTGCCCACCTAGCAGTTCGAAAGCACTCTTAAGTGCAAGTAGATAAATAGGGACCGCTTTATAGCAGGAAGGTAAACAGCGTTTCCGTGTGCTGCGCTGGTGCTGGCTCGCCAGCTGCAGCTTCGTCATGCTGGCCACGTGACCTGGAAGTGTCTTCGGATGGCGACGGCTCCCGGCCTCTAGAGCGAGATGAGCGCGCAACCCTAGAGTCGGTCACGACTGGCCCGGACAGGCAGGGGTACCTTTACCTTTACCTTTAAGGGGTTTGTGGGTTGTTGTTGTTTTTGGTAAACTGCTTTAAGGTTGTTGTTTTTTTCACAATCAAGTGGGGGGGGTGGGTGCAATGAAATAAATAAATAAGGTAAGTGTCTGAAAATAAAATCTCCATACACCAAAGGAAAGAAATGGTAAAGCTGTCATACGAAGCCCTTCCTATAATTTTGAAGGAAAATGTAACCAATCCACTTTAAATTCTTAATTCTTACGTTGCAATGCTTCAGCAGCCAGCCAGTTTTTAGGAAATGTGTGGGGCATTTATTCCCTTATTAGTAAACTGAGCCTTATTATATTGTCTACTCAGAAGTAAGTCCCGCCATAATCAATGGAGCTTACTCCCAGGTAACTGGGTAAAGACGCTGCAGCCTTACATTGCAACCCTAAGCATTTTTATTCAGATCTACGTCCCACTGAGTTCAATAGGATTTACGCTCTAATATGTTCCTGATTGTTCTCAAAGTTTCTTTCATTCATTCATTCATTTTATCCCTTTTTTCCTGACAGGGTCTCAAGGCAGCTTACAGCTTGAATTTTATTTCATTCCACTTATCTATGGAAGGTGTTGTACATGATCCCTTCCCTCACACATTTTTTCTTTACAACAGTCCTGTAGGTCTTGTTCAGTGGAGCAGTAGCATAGCTAGCCAGGGGCGGGGTGGGTGGTCTGCACTGGGCACTGGGGGGATAGGGTGCCACAGGGGTCTGTACTGCCACACGGTGGCTGCTGTGTGTAGGGGGTTGGGATTCTGGGTGGCAGGAGAGCTTGAGGAATCACAGCAGTCGCTGGGTGTTTCGGGCGCTGCAGGGGGACGGAGCCATTTCCCATCCCTGAAATCGGTGGCCGGCTGCCGTAAAAGCTCAACAATTTAATATTTCCCAGGCGCTGTTGGGGGTTACTCTGCCGCTGCAGTGGAGAGGTAGTCACTGGCTCAAGGTGACCAATGTATATGTGTAATAATAAATAATAATAATAATAATTTATTATTTATACCCCGCCCATCTGACCGGGCCTCCCCAGCCACTCTGGGCGGCTTCCCACAAAATAGTAAAATACAGTAATGCATCAAACATTAAAAGCTTCCCTAAACAGGGCTGCCTTCAGATGTCTTCTAAAAGTCTGGTAGTTCTCTTTGACATCTGGTGGGAAGGCGTTCCACAGGGCAGATGCCACTACCAAAAAGGCCCTCTGCCTGGTTCCCTGTAACTTGACTTCTCGCAATGAGGGAACCGCCAGAAGGCCCTCGGCGCTGGACCTGTGTCCAGGTAGAACGATGGGGATGGAGACACTCCTTCAGATATACTGGACCGAGGCCATTTAGGGCTTTAAAGGTCAGCACCAACACTTTGAATTGTGCTCGGAAACGTACTGTATATGTATATGACATTGATGTGTGTGGTGAGATCAAATGTGGGAGAAGCTTCCTGATGTGGAAGAGAATGTCCCTATTTCATCAAAGAAAAGTTGGAAGGTATGCATATGGGAGTAATTTCCTTTGACTTGTTCCCACCCCACTCCAGTAACATGCTGGAACCTAATGTCCTGCAGCACGAATGGGACTTGCGCGTTGTGGTAGTCCTTCCCAAGTCATTCCTCCATTACTACGTTGACATGGGAAGCGGCTACAGAGAAGTTCCTCCACACCCACCTCACTGCTGAGAAGTGTGAATCAGCCCCGTATTCTGCAACATTTAAAGAATTGCTCACACAAAAGTTGCATTTCCTTCTTAGGCCTCAGAAGAGTGTGGTTGTGGAGGTGAGCCAAATCTATGCTGAATCCCATCAAGAGCGAGACCAACCTTTATGATCCTTGCAAAGCTCTGGCTTTTAGTAATGTCAGTATGGGGAATTTGAAACCTCAGTGGTGGAATAGCAGCCAAATATGTGAATATGGGTCTCCAGTACATCTGCCCACCAAAGCAAGCCAATTTCATGAGAAATAAACACAAGACCTCCAACCATGTGGAATTTATATCATGACAGTAGATGTGTCGTTCAATAATTACCAGGCACTGGACTAAGAACCACCACATTTATCAGGTGCTTAAAATATATAAGTTTAGAACATGAGCGATTATGTTGGTGGTAAATTTTATAGCAACAGTGTAAAATGTTGCTTTTTTTTCTCCGGCTCAAAAATCTGTTGCCACAGATCTAAAATGCAGCATTCTTGGGCCCAAACAAACATAAACTCAAATTCATTTTTACTCTCAGTTTGGAAGATAGGAAGCTTGTTGTTTTGAATATTTGGCATTAGCTTTACCTGATAGAAAATCCATAAATCGAAAAACTCTCTGTCGGAACTCAAAATCAAATTACCCACGTTATTCAAGCAAAAGAAAGAACACACACAAATAAGCCCTTGATCAATACCATTCCATAGTAACAAAGGAATTAGATAAACCATGGCAGATTAGAATTTACAGAGCACTGCCGAGGTGATTAACAGAGGTGTTAACATAGGAGATTTCTTACCAGACTGTGACTGCGGGAAGTGTTTGAAAAATGAAAGAAATGCTAGCTTCAGAATTATAAATGAAACAGAATAGATGGGAATAAACCTTTAGCAAGCAAGTGCATATAAAACACTTAGTTTAAATTTTTAAACATGAAACACTGAATTGTTTTTTAAGCAGGATGATTGTGGGTCAGAATCTCAAGGCTGAAAACACTGCTATATTTTGAACTATGTGCTCACTGGAGCTTTGTAACATCCCTGTGCCATAGATATTATCACCAGTTGATGTTTTCAGTACTAAAAAAGGGTGATTTGCTCAAGGCTGTAGAATAAGTCCATGGGAGACGTGAAACTGAACCCAAATCTCCCAAATTCAAGTATATACATATTGATCTACACTGGAACTGAGCATTTAACATTATTTTTAGCTTTATATATAGATGATATCACCCATCTAGTCACTTCTTACTCTAGAAAACTTAATAATGACCTCAAGCAAAATCAATTGAGAGAAGCAATACTGTTTTGGTTTTCTTGTGGGGTCCCCATTCAGACTCATCCAACTTTGTCTTTTGTTCTCCCATTCATTTGTTCCCTATTCATACATACTTCATTTTTCCAGAATTGAAGACATGCATCTTCCCTAAAATACAGAAATTATGCAATTACATCCATGCACCAATGTATACCTGAACAGATGGATTCAACTCCAGATAATGTTGGACCTCAATTCCTTTCTCCCCAGCCAGCACAACCAGTAATGCTTACATCTGCTCTAATTGTTATTTGTGTTGGGGACAATAAAGAATTTTGGGTGAGAACTCTTTCTGCTATGTTATATTCAGTCCTATAAAGTGAGGTGCAGCTTAGAGTTTGCTGAAGAGCAACGACTATATCATAATGTAGCCTGCGATGAACAGTTAAATATCCCTTTTGTTCAGGAAGAACAAGACTCAGAAACTAATGTCACAGTAGCATCTAGTCGATATTGCATACCTTATCCTTGGCAAAACAAATAAACCCAACTAATTTGTACAGAGATTTTATCATTCTTAAAACAAATTTTAAAAATCATCATTTATTTTTTAATAACCACCCTACTTCTTTTCAAAATTCCCAGTCCTCTTTCCAAAAGTAGACACCACTGGAAGATTTCCAGAACTCCTAATGCTCATAATGGTGTGATCAGCCCCCAACACTTGCCTTCCAAAGGAAATGATTCATTTATTACGGCTGTAATTATAGGCAATGAAACAGCTGGCTATGGGGTCTTTTGCCAGACCTAAGCTACTTCCCAACATCTGTTCTTTTGAGGAAGAGCAGGGCATTGACTCATAAGATGGAAAACAGGAGTTTCTCTATTACAAAACACCACAGTGAAGAGCTGAAATAATTTTTCAACCCATTGTCCTTAAAACTCCGAAGGGGGAAAGGACCCCTTTCCCAAGCAACTTAAGATGCTACATTTACAGTTTATGCTCCAGAATAGATTGGCTGGGCATTAGCATTCAGGTACCAATGCAGCATCTCTGATGCCAAGTTAATGTGCTCCGGAATAAGTGGTCTTCAGACATGAAGAGGTCAAATCTATTTGAGTTCAGGATAGCATAATGAGCATGGAGCACAGTGGTGCTCTTGTAGAAAGAAGCAGTCTTGCTGTCTCTTCCCAACTCCACGTTAACAGAGAGAAAACATTTCATAGATCACCCTGTCTGGAAAACAGAATCATTCAACACCTTGCATTTCTGAAGGGGAATACGATCTGTTATTACTGCATGGTTCTTTCCCCATGTACTTCATCAGTAGAGTATTAATTTTTTGTTTGTTTGTTTTTAAAGGGGTTTGATCCCCTGACTCACAGATGCTAGGACAGATCTGCTGTCAGCATGGCCAATGGCCAGGGATGATGGGAGTTATAGTCCAACAATATGTGGAGGGCACAATGGTGCCTACTCTGATCTGTATTGTCACAGCGGACTCTTTGACTTAACTCTCCAGCACATAGGAGGAGCCAACTCCTAGGGGCTGAGGGGTCTTTGGCCCCTCAATAAAATATTTGAGGGGGATGGGACCCCATAGTTGATTCAAATGGTGTCTGTGCACTGCATCATGTGATCAGTTATGCAGGACAGGGCTTACTTGACACACAAAGTATTTTATTCAAGTTGACACCCCTGCTCCAGCAATATTTATTTTTCTCAAAAAAGGGGATCCTTCTGTGCCAGACACTTCAATAATCAAGAAGATACTAAGATTATCTCTCGATATGCAGCTCAAAGGTGACACTCATCCAATATGTGTTGCTACTTGGCAGGTGGATGCTTCAAATAAAGTGAGCTCGTTCTGTTAAAATTAATGTTATCTGTTGGTGTGAAAAAAAGGGCCACATCTAACGGTTATGTAGAATTAACAACCCTCCCTATAATTATCTCCTGTGGAAGATGTTGTGTTGTTAAACCCTTCCCCCAAATCCATGCCACTAGCAGTGACCAAGGAAGCAGGGCTGAAGTATATTCTTGCTTCATTTTCAATTTAGTTGCTACCTGTCAGGGGCTGGACTGAGGGGGAATGGTGGAAGAGGGAGACAGTATAGATTTACAACAGTGGTTTAGTTCAGAGGCTGCAGAGGGGAGAAGCTGAGGAAATATTGGGAGAGGAGCAGGGGGAAGAAGCAGCACCAGGGGAGAGACAGCTGACAGACTCAGTGTCTTTGGAAAGCCCGGTGGACATTGAGGGTAGTAGAAGAGAAAGCTCAGAGGCAGAAAGCACAGGTTAGCTGACATAGGAATGGTGTTTAATAGGAGAGATGGAGGGGGTAAAGAATTTATTTATGTATGCTACTACAGCGGCAAGAGTCTTGATCGCATAAGGATGGAAGAATGAGGAAACCCCGACAAAAGAACAGTGGCAAGAGAAATTGATGAACTATGAAGAAGTGGCGTAACTGACACACAAATTGCGAGATAAGGATAACTGTGACTTCAAAGAAGAATGGGAACTTTTTACAAATTATTTAAAAAGACAACAAAATGAACTGGACTCCTTGGCAGGTTTTGATAAATATACACAACTTGAGGGTTAATATAATAGATAGATAATAAAAGGATGTATATAATTTTATAGTATGCAGAGAACAACATGAGTTGAGAAATCAGAGAGAGGAGCTGAGGGAGGGGGGAAGGGGGGAAATAATGAAGATGACTTGTTTTCATAATTTGTTACATTGAAATTGTTAATAAAAATTTTATAAATAAAAAAAAGGAGAGGTGGATGGGGTAGGAACTTTACTCAGAGCAATGCTATTATCCAAGAGGCGACATCCTATGTCTCTGTGAATATTGAACAAAATATATCGGTAAGAACTTTTTCTTTTCCCATTTCTGGCAGCCAGCCGTGAGGGGGATCAGATTCCCTGAAGCCTGACACTACTGTAGACGTCACCGTCATTTGACTCAAAATAACCCACGCCATATTTTTTCCTGGAGTTTCTGTTGCCACTCCAGCTATGAATACCAACTAAAATTGTAAAATGAAGTCAGGCAAAGTAGGGAGAAATCAAAGAGCTAACAGGAGGCAGCTGCAAGGAACAATAAAGAGCCTGTCAGAGTGATTTTGTTCAGTGGATGAAATTACCTGGCCTGAGCTCTTGAGCAGAGCAGAGCAGATGTTGCCGGACTCCAGCGCTCATTCTCCCTGACCATTGTGCAGGCTGGCTAAGGCTGTGGGAACACGGAGTCCAAGACATCTGGAAAGCCACAGGTTTCCCAGGTGTGGAGTAGAATATACTATAAATAAGAGGGGTGGAAATATCGTCGGCTCAAATGCCACATTATTTTACAGGGAACCTTCCATGCCAGGAGTGGGCGGGGCAGAGGCAAAAGTGGGCAGGGCAACAGAATTTACTTTTACCATTGGATAGTAGGCTACATTCCAGCCACACAAAAACCATTCATCATAGTTTGAGAATACATTCCAGCCAAGCAAAGACACTCAAGGAGTGTGCAGAGACAGGCTGGTGAGTGGCATGGCCTGAGGAGAAGGCATGGCTAGGAAGAGTCCCAAGGACCAGAGAAAGAAAGCCCTGGAGGGACACATTTTGGTTCCTCATCCCAACTATAAATATAAACATAAATCATAAAACGTCAGTCAAAGCATGGGAAATCAAAGAGTAAATAGGAGGCAAACGCTGACTGAACTTAGTAGGATAGAAATCACACAACAGCAGATTGATGATTCCCAGTCACTTTAATAAAATAATCCATATTCCAGATCTCTTTCAGCATAAAATATTTATCCAACATAAAAGAGAGCAATTGTATTCACTAAAGGTAATTTAGAACCTGCATTCCCCCCTTTACTGTTGTGTCACTGCATGTTGTGTGTCCTGCAATTAGCTGATATCCCACAACCACAAAAGCCTTTCAGAAAACATGACAAGGTCTAACCTTTCAAAACACATCTAAAGCACACAATAGAGGGGGAACAAAGTCACTGGAATTAATTGAGCTGTAAGTGCAATATGAAAGAACAAATTAAAAATGGCGATAACATTGTTAGGAGTAATTAAACCAATGTCAGTGAAAAATGAAAAGAAGTCAGAGAACGTAATAAGGACGTGTGGCAATTTGGGAGGTATTGTTTTCAAATGCATTATATTTCTCTTCGTGTTTTATGCTAGCAGATTATCAAACAGCATTCCAGATGCAGGATCTGCAAGAGAAGCGCCATTCCCAAAACTATCCCTAGCTTCTTGAGCTGTTCAAATGAACAGATATACAGAAAGGAGCAGGAACATAATCAACTGGATTCATGGTTGTGTTCAATAAGCATGGTCTGTGATGAGAATGATGAAGCCTGCCTGTGGATGGTTTGGATGCCTGTAGGCTTGTTCAGACCTTCTCCTGAAGGCATGAATGTGGTGGGGGCAGATTGAGCGTCCACAGCCCCATCCCACAAGGTCTAAATCATAGGTAGGCAAACTAAGGCCCAGGGGCCGGATCCGGCCCAATCACCTTCTAAATCCGGCCCGCAGACGGTCCGGGAATCAGCGTGTTTTTACATGAGTAGATGTGTGCTTTTATTTAAAATGCATCTCTGGGTTATTTGTGGGGCATAGGAATTCGTTCTTCTGTTTTTCAAAATATAGTCTGGCCCCCCACAAGGTCTGAGGAACAGTGGACCGGCCCCCTCCTGAAAAAGTTTGCTGACCCCTGGTCTAAATAGTCCTTTAGCCTTCTAGGAAAGGGTTACTTGGTAGGTGAAAAGGCTGAGATTATGCTTCTGTGAACTTTGTTTTTAAGTGTAAACTAAAAATGTCGGGAGTAATTTGTTTGCCGAATTAGACTGAAGAACAAGGTTCACTTTTCACCCACCCACTGTTCACGCTTTTATTTTTGCCAGACTTGAGGTAAACTTTCGATTTTCAAATATCTGAAAGTGAAACATCAAGTGACTGAATGAATGATGAGGGAAACATTGCCCTCGTGCCTTGACTCCAGTGAGGCAACTTTCAAGCTTCCACCTATGCAAATGCACCCTAATAAATGAAATTCATTAGACCATTTCATTTCATTTCTTGTCTATAGCCTACTTTCTGACGGACGCCCAACCTGCCTCCTCATTCCAGCTTCCCCATGCCTTAAGATCTTCAGTTAAGGCCCTTCATCTGCCATGTAGTGAAAAGCTACTCCATCCACACAGCGGCCATCAACTTTTGGTACAGTCATTTTGGTTAACTTTCCACCCTGGCAGGTCATGAGAAGAACTTGTATCTGAGTTTGTTCAATGTCATCCTCCCTACCAATATAGTTCCCTTTTGTGCTAGGACATGCATTTTTAAAAAAATTAAAATGTTTTAGTGATCTAAGCTGCTCTGGAGCCTTCTTTGGCAGAAGAATGGGACAAGGTACATTTCAGAATTTAAATGAAAATAGTATTTCCTGTGACGATGAGTAAATAGTGAACAACAAATCCCATCATGAATGTCAAATATATGTTTTTGTATGCCATAATAGGCAAACATTATTATGTATACCATAATAGGTAAACACAACAAAACAGTGGATGTTATCACAATTTCTTGGAGACATTTGCATGCATAGCAATGACGACTATTTTTTAAATCCTGGTGTTACTGAATTTTGCGTGTGTGTACTTTATTTTTTTTATTATTATTAACACACACCCATGAGAGGGGGAGGGGGAGGGAGGGGTAGATAAAAATGGGTCTACTTCAGAAGAAAAAAATTGTTTAGCTGGGGAAGCCCATAAAAAATCAAGGCACTGGATTCATGTACTCAACTAGTTCTTGTTGGAATTCTGCCTGGGTCAGAGGAATGTGCCACAGCGTAGGCACCGGCAGATATTCCTGTCGACCTCCCCGCGTCACCACTCTGCTGATAAGCAGGCGAGGTCCGGCGATTCTTCTCAGATGTATGAGAGGAACACACCGTTCTTCCTCTCTCCCCTTTGGTGTCCCCAGGGAGGGGAAGAAGCAGACAGAAAACTATTTACATCATTTATTTCTGCCTCTTACATCAGTACAGAGAATCATGTCTGCACTCAACAACAGCAAGAAGAAACTCCTCCCAAGTACATCCAGTACGGGTCATATGACACACACACACTGAGCTAACATCCGGTGCTCAGTACAGAATGGACTGCCCCTTTGTTCCCATGGCAACAGTCACAAACATCCTGTCTGGCTTTCCAGCCACAAGCAGCTGGCTGAGCTGCTAGAGCCTTTGCTTGCTGCAGCATTGGTGCTTTATGGTAACATACTCCCCTAAAGTATCAATGTGTGCTGCGAGCAAAGCGTCATCCAGAGAAGAAAACAAACAGTTGTTATATTTATAACATTCCCTGTTGTTTCAGTTCCACCCTTGGAACTACCCGCCACTGGTTTAACCAATGTACCTCTCTGGTTGTGTGACTTCGCATTACCTTGGTTAACACCTCTCTGTTGTGCCTTTGTCTCTGACTCAGACACAGCTTCAAGCTGTCCTTGGTCGTTTACAATAGCAACATATGCAACAGCTAAGTTAGCAAACTCTTTTGAGTACCTCTTTGGTGGTACACCCTTTGTAACTCTCTCAGACCTGCGTATGAGGTTCTGATCTTCTGTGCTCACTGGTTCAACCTTTGGACTCTGTTGAGAACCAGTAGCAATCAGTGGTTCTTCCTTCACCTGTGAAGGTCTATCCATTGTGTGAGATTTCCTCTCAATGACTGTTACAACTGAACTGTCTGAGCTATCGCTGTCATCATCAGTACTACTGAACTCAATAAGATCAAACTCATCATCATCATTATCATCAGAATCCTCTGTGGGAAATGTCTGTACTATCCGCTCTTGCTTTGGAGCACTCTCTAGGAACTTTGTGAGAATCACCTGACCAGATTCAGACAAAATTACTCTGTAGAGACCTTTTCATAACCCACAAAAATGCCTCTGGCATTCTTTACACCACCTGGAGCTTCTGTTCTCACATGAGACCCGAAAACCTTAAAATAGGCAACAGAAGGTTTTCTATTGAACAGCTTCTCAAAAGGAGAACATCCCAAGCTCTGTTGAGATCTTTCTCAGCCACACATGAAGATAGGACGCTAGCGATTCGGCCCAATATTCATGTGGCAAATGTGAACTCAGCAATTGCGCATTCATTCCCTTTTGCAATTCTTTGTTCACTTTTACACAGACCCCCCTGTTCCACGCTTCTTGCGAAACTGCAACTTTGTGGTCTATCCCTTTTCCATCCAGGAACTTCTGAAACTTCTGTAACAGAAAAATTTGCTTCTCATCTGTGAAAAGACAATCAATGTTAGCATCATGCATATTTTTAACCTTGTCACAAAACTCCTGAAACTTTTCTAAAGTTTCTTGCGGTTTCTCCATCATATAAACCCAAGAATAATTAGTGAAACAATCCACACACAAAAGGTAAAATCGTGCACCGCCTCTAGATGGTTCTAGAGGACCAATCACATCAGCATACACCCGCTGAAATGCTCTGTCGACCTTCTTGGTCTTAGTCACCTTCCTGGTGCTCACACTGGTCATGGTCACCCCTGCAAGAGAGATTTCGTTAGAAACAGAAGAATTACATTTCATGTAATCACTTTGATCAAAAGTCAACAAATACAGTCCATCTTTCTCTTTGGCAGTAAGAAACAGTTCTCCATCTTTGTAGATCTTGCAGCTTTTAGCATCATAGGACAGTTTCAGTCCTTTCTTTGCAATCTGCGACACGCTCAGCAGATTAAATCTCAGTTCTGGAACCAGGTAAACATCACTTATAGTCAAGTTCAGACTCTCAAGATACACAGTCCCAATTCCAGTCGCTTCCAACTCCTGACCGTTGGCCTGTTTCACAGTGAAGCTTTGCTTCTTCAACGTCGAAAATAGTCCTCTGTGCGGGCACATGTGAACCGTTGCGCCCGTGTCAATTATGAACGAGTTCCCAACATCTGGCGTGGTTCCTTTCGCCATCATAGCCTTTGCAGGTTTCACCTGGCACTTGGTACGGCTTTTGCCTGACGCCTGAGGCTTCGTAGAGCTGCTCTTTGCTCCTCTTGACTGGCGCGGCTTCTTACAGTTCCGCTGTAGATGCCCAGTCTGTCCACAATTGTAGCATCGGACAGCACTCAATGCTACACCATGCTCTCCAGTAGCATCAGCAGTGGGGAATTAGAACTCTGTTCTTCCCTCCCCTGTCTTTTTCTTCCAGTGCAGCAAGTCTGTCGTGTTCATTCAGGACCACAGCACAAACTCTCTCCGCGGTCAGCTGCGCGGCCGGTAGGGAACCAAGCTGACTGGCAACAACCTTGTAGGTGCGGCTAAGGCTGTTTATCATCATGAAGCAAAACACTTCCTCCTGAAGACGGAAATTGCGTTCCACCATCTGTTGACGCAGAAACTTCATTTCTGTCAGGTGCGCTTGAACATCTCCATCAGGCGCAAGTCTCAGATTGGTCAATTTCTCAAAATACAGCAACGCTGAAGAACCAGCATCTCTCTGATGCGTTGTACGCAGCGTGTCCCATACCTCTTTCGCATTTTCTAAATGCTGAACATGCACCAACTGATCATCTGAGACACACAGAATTATAGCAGTCCTGGCCCTTACATTCTGTGACTCCCAACCTCTGGTTGGTGCTGCAGGGATGGGGTTTTCAATTACATCAAAAAGCCTCTGATTCTGCAGCAGGGCCTTCATCTTTACAGACCAAGATGAATAATTGTCATTGGTTAAGGGAGGTGGGCAAGGCAAACCTCCCCCTTTCTTGGCATCCATTTTGAAGCCAAGCCTCCAGCTCACAATGTCAAACAAACTGTAAAATCCAACAGTTGTTTTTTTCCTTTCTCACGCAGCAAACTGCAAATTGTTTACGCCCTTTTTGCACCTGGCAGCTAAACTCAGGCGGCTATTGAAAAGTCCCTTCCAAGAGCTCATAAACTTGTAGCCAAAACATTCTCTGATTTTGTTTCGCTTTCCCAGGCTCACACTCAGAGAGTCCAGCCCCTTGCCAGTAACTTTCCAACTTTCCGTTACCTAGCAACAATGCATTTCAATGGGACTTCTTATCTACCACAAAAATTTGTGGAATGCAGGCTTCAGCCTTCAAGCTGCAGGCCTCTTCTCCCGGAGCTCTTGTTTTCTTTGAAACGCAGCTCCGTGAACCAGGGAATTAATCTTCCTGCGTTCACACTTTTAGCCCGAAATGCAGCATACCTTGAACTTCGTTGCTTGGGAAAACACCTCTTCTTTCCACCAGCTGTCTGTCGAGCCTCTGGCTTCTCTCAGACGCTTGCCTTCTCCCTTAGGAGCAGTGGAGGACAATCCACCAGCCTCTTATGCAGATGTCCGATGAATCAGAACCATCCTCTGCTACCACTGTTGGAATTCTGCCTGGGTCAGAGGAATGTGCCACAGCGTAGGCACCGGCAGATATTCCTGTCGACCTCCCCGCGTCACCACTCTGCTGATAAGCAGGCGAGGTCCGGCGATTCTTCCTCAGATGTATGAGAGGAACACACCGTTCTTCCTCTCTCCCCTTTGGTGTCCCCAGGGAGGGGAAAGAAGCAGACAGAAAACTATTTACATCATTTATTTCTGCCTCTTACATCAGTACAGAGAATCATGTCTGCACTCAACAACAGCAAGAAGAAACTCCTCCCAAGTACATCCAGTACGGGTCATATGACACACACACACTGAGCTAACATCCGGTGCTCAGTACAGAATGGACTGCCCCTTTGTTCCCATGGCAACAGTCACAAACATCCTGTCTGGCTTTCCAGCCACAAGCAGCTGGCTGAGCTGCTAGAGCCTTTGCTTGCTGCAGCATTGGTGCTTTATGGTAACAGTTCTGATAAAGAAAGTGAATGACACCAATTGAGTCTTATAAAAGTAAAATGAAATCAGAGTTGCCTTACTGTTAACCTTGTGCCTAGAATATGCTTTAAGTAATATATATTTTTTAATATTTTTGCATTTTTCAGAACTAATGACCCACATTTATAAGATCTTTTATTTAAAAGGATTGGTCCCTTTGCATATTTGGTCATGACTGCAAATTACATAGATCAAAGAAAACTGTCGTTGTGAGCCACGTTGGCAATTACGGCTTCTTGTTTTCAATCTGTCAGAAAAAGGGGCTTACATTGCTTTTAGGCTGCACTGATTTTCTTTGTTTCAGTTGCCCACAGTGTCTCATTTTATAACATTTGTGCAAGTTAGTGAATTCTCTCGTGGACATGCATTATACATGTGCATCTTTCATAAGCAAAGTAGTGGGGCACTATTGGACAATGCACTACTAAGACATTAAAACTAATCCTTAGTACAATGCATCTGCCAACATTTTAAAGCCAAAAGTTACAAAAATAGGTGCCTTAATTGCAACCTCGAATTTCGTTCCTGCATACTGTTCCTCATAATAATCCAAACTGAGGCAGCAAAGGTTGTGCCTGGCTATTAAGCTCAGATGGGTGAGGATTAACAAAACTGAACCTTGTTCAGCCAAGGTAACAGTGATGGTAGTAAAAGGGTGGGCCTTGCTGGTGTCCCAAAAAACCAGGCAGGATTTTGAGGTGGCAGATACCAGTTCTGTGACCAAGCACCTGGACCGTGTGATCCAATTCCAGGGTAATTTCTTTCAGCAACCTGTGAAGGTAAGCTACATTATATGTTCTTTAGCATGAGAAAAGATTTAGAAAATACCAATGGTGGTTTTTCATATTTGGGCCCAGTAATTAGTGCAATAACAGTGCTTCAGCAGATGGTATCCTAGTCAAAAATAGGTCGTTTAGGTATTTCCTGAAGATAACAGAATATAAGAGCTCCAACAATGAAATTTCACACTATATTTATTTGATATGATTGTACAAAAAGTTGCATTCTTCCACTGTTGCCCGAGGTCAAGAATTATCCCACAAGAGATCCTTTCTCTGTTTTTCTCATAATAGGGTGGAATTAATTAAGTCCATTTAAAAATCCAACCACGAAGGCCGATCTATGGGGAGCACCTGAGAACTGTCAACTTAAAGAAATCTCAGCTGACAGACATGTCACTGCTCCTAAATACGATGAGTAAATTAATGAACAATTTTTTAAGAGCCGCTATATTTTAATAAAGTGATGCACAACCTACTATTGCTCAATTAATGACTTTAGGGACCCATCTGCATCTCGTGTTCACTTCTTGTTGATTCAGACAGTGGCTTTCTGAAAAGAAAAAAATGCATTCCTTGTCTAGAATGTCATGCATGTTCTACTTGAGATGGCTTTCCAACCAATCAAATAAGCAAAATGATTTCTTACTACCAAAGAATCCTGGCCTACAGTAACTCTCACAGTTGATGCTGATACTATCCCATTGCTGTACTGCACTTCTAGCCAAACTGTATACATTATGGACAAGAAATCCCATGTATTATACCTAACATCCTCCCCCATCAGCCATTTTGGTTTTATATCGACTTTGCTCTATAATGAGTGGTTTGCCTCATTTTCTCATGGTGGTAACTGTGCATCCAGGTACACTGACATGGTGCACTTTCATTGTTCTTTCTTTCTCCCAGTGAAGTGAATGATGTGGTCTAAACTGCAGAGAACTGGTGTGGAGGACATGGGATTGGTTTCCATGACTTGGTGGACCTTTTCAGCTTTATAATTCTGTAACACTAAGGTTTCATATTTTGATCTAATACACACCACATATCACCACAACACATTCACGACTTGGTTCACTATGTGCCTGTCATTACCTTTTTTATTTTATGGGAATAAAACATTGCCAAAAAATAATAATGGTTTTTTCTAGCTGAAACTGGGTCTTAGCTGAGAAGGAATATATTTCTTACAAGCTGACAGCAGCTGTTTTCTTTTGTTATCTTTATCCAAGCTATCAAATTCTGGAATAAACTTACTGAACTTGCTGCTGTGGGGTACAAGGGCACCTGTAAATCATGGCTAATGGAAGATGTTCATAGGGACCTTTCAGCTAAGTTCGAAAAGTGCTTGAGAAAAGGGTGTCCTACTAAGCTTGCAGAAAATATAGTAGTCGAGGGCTGCATTACCAACCGCCTTGAACTACTGTAACGTGACAACCTTTAACCCCAAATCAGCTTCAAATGCAACTGGTTTTTATGTCAGGAGGATTTATTAGCAACGTTTTAAAGATGGTGGTTCAGGGAATGGATATGTAATGAAAGAATTTAATCTGAATATAGCCTTCATGCATTCAGGTGGTTTTAACAAGGGCCAATAAGGCATACCTCCTTGAGAAACATTCACATCCATAGGTATAGACAATGAAGGCATTAAGATATAGCAAACCTTGAAATGTAAGGGATGTGAGCTTAAAGTAGATGTGGAAAACAATAGTGAACCACTGTAGAGGAAGAGGGCAATATAATGTCATTAGATCTGAGAGAATGTAGAAGCTGATATAAACTGGGAAGTCTCCAGTAAAAATTTTCAGAATATACTCAGATAATGGCAGAAAATTATATTAGGCTCAGTACTGGTGTAAAGACCATTGAGATTACATATTTGAAATGTTGAAGGGAGTAGCATAAAGGCATTGTAGAGTTGTTAAATCAACAGTAAATTAGAAATTTCTATAGTTATACAACTGAGAGGAATGTTATATTCAAAGTGGAAGGAGAATGTGTTAGAACGAGGGGAAGAGAGACTTTGATAGAAGTTCTGGTAGTAGATAAACTGATAGAAGGAAATAATTAGAAAATATAATTGAGAGAGGAACTTCTTTACACATCATTAGCATGTAATCAAGCACATACAGCTCTGTATTGAATTTGTATTATGCAGACCTAACTAATCTTGGCTCAGATAAATCAGTGGTAAAATAAGGATAATTCTGATCACAAAATTACAGTCATTTTTATTAATGGAATGGAGATGCACACACATGAGTCTTGACCAATGATTCTATTTCCAATTTCAGCCTATGGGTTCTCTCTAATAGCAATCTGCTTCCAGCCAACTCCTGATTCTCTACCAGGAGACACCCAAACCCACCTGAGTTCATGGCATGCCACTGCAGGGCTCAGCATAAATGTGGAGTTGTAGCAGCTACTCAATATTGGGAAAATATGAGAGAGGCAATGGAGCCTAGCGGCCAGCAGTATTGACTAATCTCTGGGACAATGAAGCCAACTGACTTTGTCTTTCCCTTTAAACCAGCAAATGGGTAATTGTCATGAGGGAAATGAGAGAAAAATAGTACAAGAGCTCTATGATGAGCTCTGTGGTGCTATAGACAAAGAATAACATGATTATGCCCCGGATTCTAGTGGTCACTTAAGAATTTTTACTCTAGTACTTCTGCATAACAGCCACACATTCCTTTCTTGCTTACCCTACTGTAACCCACCAAGTTTTCTCTGAACAAGGCCACAAGTTATAAACTACAATCATAAAAGCCTGTGTTTTTTTTCCTGACTGTGTCAGGTTCCATAGGTAGCGTTTTGTTTTATAATGTGAAGGGCTACATTTAGTTTAAGAAGGTTGAGTTGTTTTTTTATAGGAGTCAGGATGTCTTTCTGCTAGTCATAGAAGCAGATGGTAACTCTATTTTCTGCTGGTGAATTGCAGGTCTAGCAACACAAGGCTAGGATTTATTTTTGTAGAAGGAAGGTGCACATGCAAAGTTTTTCTATAGGTATTTTGCATATCAATACTTCCTGCACCTAATAAATGGGGGGGGGAGTGTGTCAGTTTGCATTTCTTAGTACAGAAAGTATTGACCTGATGTGCAGAGATCTCTCCTATTCTACTTAATTCAAGAGGGTTCTGGAAGCTTCTTTGTGTGAAAGGAGCAAGAAGGAGGTTCGTGATGTTTGGGTTATTCCTTCAGAGAGGCATAGCTGGCTTAAACTGGTTCTGTTATCTCTTTCAGAAAAGGCTGTTGCTTAACTCTTCTCCATCTTGATGTTTGGCAGAGCTGCCTAAAGTACAACGTGATGTCGCAGGCCATTCACATGAGGTTAAAGACCTTGCCCTCAGAACGCACAGCTGTGCTCTGCTCCCAGAGCAAAGGCCTTGGCCAAGAGAAGGCAGCTAGATATTCTAAAGTGAGGGCCAAGAGATGCTCAGCCGCTGAATCTCAGTATCCCTGGGATGGTAAGGATGTACAGAGTCATCATTATCTGAACTGGGGGCAGTGCCATATATACCATATTTTTCGCTCTATAAGACGCACCAGATCACAAGACGCACCTAGCTTTTGGAGGAGGAAAACAAGAAAAAAAATATTCTGAATCCTAGAAGCCAGAACAGCAAGAGGGATTGCTGCGCAGCGAAAGCAGCGATCCCTCTTGCTGTTCTGGCTTCTGGGATAGCTGCGCAGCCTGCATTCACTCCATAAGACGCACACACATTTCCCCTTACTTTTTAGGAGGGAAAAAGTGAGTCCTATAGAGCAAAAAATATGGTATATTATATTACTTCTACCAAGACGCAAGTGCTTTGTCACAAAGAAAACCATCATGGCCCCTCTAAATGCTTCAAAATATTGAATTCTGTTTATACTAGTCCGCTCTGAAGCCCTATAGATAATGGGATAAGACTAGGAAAAAGCAAAGGGTCCATAGTTACAATGCCAACTAATTTGCAAAACAGGACCGCCACACTAGTGAAATGTACTGCTCCAGACTTCTGGGTGAGCCTTTCATGAAATGGTATTTTGGGAAGTGCAGCAAGGTGGTTGTTAGCATGTAGCTAATTGCACTATATTTCCATAAGCCTTGCATCAGAGAATTAACATGACTGAGGACGGCATATTGTTTCTCTGGACTCACTTCAAAGGAAATGCCTAATTCAATAGCAAAGCATGGTTTGTTTTATTATTAATATGGATGCTGCAGATCATTTTCAAAGAAAGTCGTTTGCACGCTTTGAAAATTAATTATGTTAAGGTTATTATAAACTAAATGTTGGGAGTCCAAACACATGTTTCCAATATACAGATTAATTAAATCTCAATGATTTGTAATATTACATAAAATGACTTTGCAATCGGCAAACTAGCATCTCTTTTCTTTCTTTTTGAAACTACTTTTCCTCCTCCTTGCTTAAAATACCCAATAATATTACAGCAACTATAGTTTTAGTCATGAGTAGTTAAAATCATTAATTTCCATGTGAACATGTATCACATGCTAGTTTAAAAATCAGGGGGGAACCACAAGCCTAACGTAATTAAAATGCAATTCAGAGGACACAGTGGGTGGATGGCTATTTACATGTGAAAGCGCAGAATAAACGAGTCTCATAAATTATGCACGGAAAACCAGCAGAATTTAGGAGATCAAATATATATTTTTTGAAATGAAGCAAGAGCTGCTGGCAGTGGGACTCCATTCTCCCCTCCCAGCAAGCTGACAGAAGAGTCTCCTTCAAACATACTAATGAATTTCAGCCCCATAACTGCTTGTGAGCAAGGCCAAGATCACCTTAAAAAGGAATAGGCAACCAATCATGCTGTCACTTGTGCTGCTGGTATCCATCCTGCTGATCAATCTGCTACATCTGGTGCCTTTGGAGACAAGCACGACAAAAGGATGAAGGGAAAGATCGCGCTTCCAAAAGAGGAAGGAAAATTTTTCTCCCTCTACTTGCGCTTTGTCTTTGCTTTCTTTCTTTCTTTCTTTCTTTCTTTCTTTCTTTCTTTCTTTCTTTCTTTCTCTCTCTCCTCCCTGCCCCCGAGAGAGAGAGAGAGAAAGAAAGAAAGAAAGAAAGAAAGAAAGAAAGAAAGAAAGAAAGAAAGATTAGTTCAAGATCTGCTCTTTCTTCATTTATAAAATGGTTACACTGAGATGGTAAACTATTCATTTTCCTTGCATGATATGGATTTTATCCTGGCATGTCCATCAGAACATTACTCTCCTGTCACTGCATGTAGTACAGCTATTCTATTTCAGTAAATGGGCTTGGGGAATGTGATCACAGTTCTGGATCAAATAGGGCGACATGAAGTCTTCCAAAGTAATCCAAATGGTCTTTTTGGTCAACAGAAGTCTTATCATTATCAATCATTTATTAACCCCCTGACCCAAATGAGTATGTGATATACAAAGATTATTTCTTTTAATGCTTTGGGACTTTAAAGCCCTAAACAGCTTGGTTACCAGAAAGACGGCCTTCTTCCATATGAACCTGTGCAAAATTTAAAGATCTGTATCAGGTGCCATCCTCTGTCTGCCTACACTGGCAGATGTTAGGTGGGTAGCAGCTGGAAAGAGGGTATTTCCAATGGTGGTACCACCTTTGCAGAATAACACCTTCTCAATCACTTTGACAGAAGGTTAAATTGTTTTTATTCTCAGACTTTCATAGTAGTTTTTATTGTTGCTTTTAGAGAACCATGCTCTGATTTAATATTCTTAAATATTAAAATAAGTATTAACTCTTGCCTATTTTCTGGGATTTTAAGGTAAGCGTTCTTATTTATGTGAATCACTTTGAACATTTTCATTATTAAATATGAGAATAACTATGATAATTTAAAAACCTAAGGATTTGATGAGCACTAACTTAATAATACTTGGAAATTCATATTGACTCTCTTTAAGAGACTTCTGTAGCTATCAAGGCCACTTACCTTAGAAGGACCGTGGAAAGAGTCACAAGCAAATTGACACATGCTTATTTTAGTCCTTATACATTTGGAAGCATCTATAAGAGATACTCTTAGAAAATGAAGGAGACAGGAAAAAATCATTCCACCACTGAACCTGGTTGAACAACAAAACAAAGGTTGCATTCTATTTCTGTCATTTATTAACGAGAACAAAGAAACTTTTCATCTTCGGCATTTCAACTGATAGTTGATTTCGGGGGGGGGGGAATAAAATATAATTTAAATACAATTTAAAAAATACTACAGAGCATAATATTTTGCATCATTCTCAAACAAAAAAAGGGGGTCGTCAAAACCATTCACAAGTCATAAACATTTTGAATGCTGTCCTTGATCCTCATGCTATCGTTTTGAGCAGCTTTATTAGCCTCGTAAGCATGAGGCCCAGAGGATTGCTTTTAGCAAGGGTAGCAAGCCAAGGAGAACAATCAAGTTTCTCAGATAGCGGAGACCATTTACGGAGAACCAGACTTGGCTTTGTGGAATGCCACAAATCACAAGCCTGCTTCAAGGATTGCTTTCAAGCCAAAGCATCTGTGTAGGAAAAGGACAATGTAAAATCGAGGTGAGATAGGTTCAAAGTCTCTTCCATTAAATTCCAGTGGATGCTTGGGGTACATCTGCTTAGCAACTACCTGGGTTATTGCTTCAGAACTAATAGGGAACCATCAAAAATAAAAAACCAGTAAATGTCTTTCCCTAAGACACCCTCTGCACTGATATCTGAAAACCAAATGTCCTGATTATTTAGCTCATGGAAGTCCCACAGTGCTATTCTCCATCTGTTACATGTGCCTGCACCACAAGAAGGGAAGTGAGGGAAAAAGAGGGGTATTGATGTGCATTCGATTACCTTCAAGGCCATTATCTAGCTTACATTGTCTTGCATACATATAAAGCCCTGACCCAATGACAGTCAGGGATAAGTACACTTCTTAGGTTATAAAGCACTGCAAAAAGTGCCAGAAGAGGTGCAGAATTAATTTTAGAGTTGTGATGCACCCAATGGCATTCGTCTTCTCTCTATGCACACATTCCAGCTTTGACATTCAGTCTCTTCAAAGATATGTGATTTTTCAGCATGTTCCCATGTCTTTTAACATTATGTGGAAGTTGCTTCAACAGGCCGAATGTTTTCCGTTTTCTAAACAGGAAACAGTTCTAGGGAATGAAATTTGACATGTATAAAATGGCTCTCAGGAGCCACTAAAGAGTATAAAATCAACTCCCGGAGGAAAATAAGCTTACATCCCACGGATACACCACATAGTCACAACTTCACTCCCACAGAATTCAGTTAAGAGTCGTTGACAAAGCTAAGGCTGTCAGGCCCAAAGAGCTATGTCTAACTTTGCCATGGTGGCCTTTCCGTGTTTTTCATACTCTTGCTCCGGTGTAGGAGCTTCCCCTTCTGCTGAACATTCAAACCATCAGAGCTTTCCATTTTCTGCTTGGAAGATGGGTTGACAGATTCCCTCTCTGTAACAGAAGCATGTTTTAGCGAGAGGCTATGCCTGTCTACAGGAAATGTGGATGTTGGTTCAGGCTTAGGCTTGTGTTTTGGAAGTACATTCAAGCCCCTTTCTTCTAGTCCATCTGCTCTGTCATCTTCCTGCTTTGGAAAACGCTGGCTGGCTCCCGCTTTCTTCGCTTTTTGGTCCCTTAAATTCCGAAGAGTTTCGAAGGCCTGGTCCAGTTCCGTTTGCAAGGTTTCCATTTCACTGGCTGCCTTATCCCGTTGCTCTCCACAGACTTTGAGGGAACGTTCCAAAGACAGGAAGAACTCTTTTCCAAACTCTGACAAGGCCTCATCACCTTAAGGGTAAATTAAAAGAAGGTAGGGAGCTATACTGCACCATTCATTCAACCTAAACAATAGTAAGGCATAAATAAGCAGTTGATTTGAAACTGTTTGTGATAACATAGTATTTAATGCATTTCAGTGATCAACTGTATCTTCTCAATGTGCTATTTATCATGAACCTAGAAAAAAATGGCAAGCTAGAACATTACTAGAGAGCCCTCTCAGCTATTAGAAAATCAACAGGTTATAGATGCCTTTCATTATCAAATAAAGCCCCAAATGTGCTTCTGGCATGTGCGAAATTTGAGCTTCCATTGGCGGGATACTGGATATCCCTTGCAACAAAGATGGGGAATCTGTGGCCCTCCAGATGTTGTTGGACACTTCCAACTCATCAGCAAACATGGTATGGGATTATGGGAGTTATAGTCCAATAACACCTGAGTCAAGGTGAGCCTTACAATTTCCAAACTGTGCTGATACTTTAACTTGGAAGATACTGATTCACAACATAATAAACTATACATTCACATTCAAACACACCATATAAGATACATTCATTGGAGTAAAAGATAAAAATCAGGAACCAACCAAAGGAGGAACTTCATTTTTATTTTATTTTTTTTACAAAATCTCCTCATTACTGCTCAAGTCTTGAACTAGGTTGAATGTACTAGATCAGCTATTTTCTATTTGACCTAATGCTGAAAATTAAGGATAAATCAGTGATGCAAGATATCTAAGAGTGGCTCTCTTCCCATGCCTTTTTTTAAAAAAAGAGACAAGACACCAAGACAAGCCTATCAAGTGCATCCTTTACCAATCCAAATTGTACAAGTAAGGTTCTTACCTTCGTGCTGCTGATTCACTGGTGGAGCCAAAGTTTCAACTGCATATTGGATTTGTTCTGCATTGTTCCTAAAAGCAGTGAGGAAGTCTCTCAAAGCTGCCTCTGAAGCTTCTGCTTTAAGTTTTGTATAAGAAGAAAAAACATCTACAAGAGAAAGTGGAAAATTATCAATTGCTCCCTGGAGACTTGTATTAAAAGTATGAAGCGGCAAGAGAGAGAGAAATCTTGCATTTGAGTTGTTTTCAGGTGTTTGAAACACTAAACATTTGTATTTCATGCCTGTCAGTATTTTGAAATTGTTTTTGTTTAAGCTGCTATTACAGACATGTATTTACCTTGTAATGGTGAACATAGAACCATGGCAACATTATCTTGAAATGTGTGGTATGCTTGCTTTATCCCATCAAAGACAGCTTCGGTGTACTTAACTTGAAGATTATACAAATTTCTGTGGAAGTTAAGTTCAGCTTGCAAAGCAAGTATCTAGGAGGGGGGAAATAAACAAAATGCAATATTAGGCATCAATGAGCCTAATGCATATTGGCTCAATCAGATGTCATGAGATGTCACATGAACCCATGCAAACCTTAACCATTCTTCTTTCTTGGCATCTACCTGACAAACACCATTGGTGGCTGACTAGCAAACCAGAATGTAGAAGCATGGTTTCAGTCCTGGTTTGAACTTGTGCCAATTGCGGTTGATATGACATCTGAAATAATAAACCATGGCTTCAGCCATTTGCTGTGCTTTCTAATACTGCTGTGCTATAGAAAAGGAGTCCTACTAGAAAGGAAAATAAAAGCAGTCAAACAGCTTTTACTGGTGGTTCCACAGCATGTTCTCCTCCCAACTAACCATCCTCTGCTCTGTCTCCCTGCCTAGTAGCTTTAAGTGTCTTGATCTGATTCACTTAGCAGGTGGGCAACATTAATGCACATACAATGGAAAGCTTTATAGCGGATAACTGCAGATCAAGCTGATGTCAACCGCACAGCTGCAAAGGCCGGTTGAAAGCAATTGGGGGTGGAGTGGGACAGGAAATCGCTGCCCAGCTTGCAGGCTTTGACATGCTGATAGCTTGCACAGAATTCAGCTCTTGTGTCTCCACTGGAGGTAGGTTAAGTATTTGCAGTCCTGAGGAAATTTGGAGTTTTACAGAATGCAACCAAAAGTGAAGAAAACTGTAGCAGGATGAGGGAAAGGTCTTGGGCTATGCAACACTCCCAATTCCTTCTCTCTCTCTCTCTCTCTCATGCACACACACACACACACACACACACACACACAAATGCAGACTTTTTATTTTCATTTTCTGATGTTTTTGCCAATGCAGAACCACCTGTTGAATGTCCACCTGTTATAGAAACCTTGAATAGTAAGGACACTGATTAACGAGACCACATTGCCACAACAGGCTGGGAATTTCTATTCTGTGAAGTGTAAGCACCGCATACTGTGTTTGACCGTGCAAAGCACACCTGATGGCTGTGACTGTTTCTGAACAGCACAATCAATGAAATTGAGTGGGAAAATTGGTAGAGACATCAAAGACTCAATTCCTACACGTATATGCCAAACACACATTGCTGGGAATTTTTTTTCCCTATAGCACAAAATGTCCACAATGAAAAATATACATTATGAATTGTGCAGATGAGATTTAGTCTCCCAGCCCAAGGAAGGGGCAAATGCAGAGAGTCCACTATTAAGAAAGTAAAGAGAGGAACTGTCAAAAAACCATCCATACCGTTTGAAGTTCCTTATTGAGAATGTGGAGGACACCAAGGGAAAGGGCAATTTACTACTAATCTTCCCAACAAACCACCCTACTTGCCAACTGCCCAGTACTCTTCCTTCAGACAAAGGACATGTCTCTGAACTGCTAGGTATGTTTTGGAGATACCCACAGTCACCTTCTCTCATTTCCTGTAGCCACATCACAGAAGTATATCCTCTAGGGTGACTATCTCATGAGCTAGTAGGCAGTGATAGTAATCAAACTCTTAAAAGAGTTAGTTGTACCTTTGACAAATGTCTCTGATCCTCAAACATTACAATATTGTTAAAAAAACAACAAAAATAATGAAATATAGAAATAAGTTTTGAGTATTTTTCTAGTAAAAAAAAATAATCAGCAAATACAACATTTATATGAAGTTTTTAAATGGCACCCTTTATAGACTGCTTTACAGGTTGCAAAACAGGCTTATGCAGCAAGAATCTGTTTCTATTCTAAGAAATAATCTTTGCAACACTTCCCCGTTTCATGCTCCAGTTTGTACAGCTGAGGGGAAAGAGAGCCAAGAACTACAACAAAAACAAATTTATACTTTTTTAAAGTACAAATTATTGCATGACATTTTTTCATGCATTAATCTTTGGCCATGTTTTCCCTGATAATGCTTTTCATGATGCACAAGGCACAAGATTAACAAAGTCCTTGCCCCCCAGATAATGAATGTACTGGGAAAATATGAATGTTTTACTTTTTATGTGGTTTGCTACCTTTACACTAGTACTGCAACATCAAGTAGCAGGAGATAAGTGAAGTACAACAAAGGCATATTTTTGAGGAAACTCATTAAATGGTCACTTCCTTGCCCCCCGAGGGAATCCAATAGCCCACAGAAACATAAATATTATGAAATGGGCCTTAGATAATTTTAACTTCCAAGATTTTTGGCCATCTGTAGCAAGAAGTTCTGAGCTAGCTGCCAGATCATCTTAGTGACCTAATGTACTTTCCCAGGCACAAGATCAAATTGTTCCAAGATGAGCTGATTGAAAATGAACAAAGAGCAGCAGATTGGCGGTTCTGCTAGAAATCCCAAGAGAGCAGGCTAGCCCTTAAAGATACTGCTCCACCAGGTGTCTTCTTCTCAGTAGACTCTGGCTGTTTATGTCTCACTATAGTGTTGCGGGGGCAGAAATGAAATTAAACCAGAAGATGGTCTACTTGAGCAACCTCTTGCACAAGCAGAAGCTAACGATAAGCAGTAGAACCTACCCTCCATAACACTGTGTAAGCTCTTGTTCTTCTCTTGTTCTTCCACTCAGAGTTCTTTGGGTCCAGCTAGCTGTCACTTACATTAAATCTTTCCAGTTATTACATAGTGCTGTAATAACTGCAGCTTAATGCTCTCAGGCAACTCAGTGGCTAGAGAGCTGGGTTTAAAATTGTGGGTGCTTTGTCCAAAGTTCTCTCTCTAGTTATGGACCTGCTGCATTTTTGGTCACTCTTGGCCTCAGTTCATCTTGTGTAGGATGGGAATTATTGAATCTTTGTGTAGAATGTAGAGAGTAACAGAAAAAGTAAATGTGATGTGCAAATTAAATTATTAGAAGCTGTTGTAGTATTACAAAGGTTAACTAAGTAACAAGCCAATGACTCGACGTGTTCAGGCAAGGTCTGACAAGCTAATGCTTTATGAGACTCCAGCTACTTCAGCATAGTTTTAAATGTTCCTACCCTGCTTTCTTCCTATACTCAAAGAAATATGGCATCCCTATTAATCAAAACTTGTCTTCCTTGAATACTACAAGGAGTTGCCTTATACCAAGTCAGAGCTCTGTTCTATCTACCTCAGTAACTGTTTCTCCCGAGACAGGAAGTAGTTTTCCAGGTTGTCAGGCAGAGATTCTTCTCAATCCTACTCTTTTATCTGGAAATGCCAAGGACTGAACTTAAGACCTTTCTTACATAGCATGAGCTCTAAAATTGGCTTATGGTTCTCCCTGTTCAACACAAATGAAGACTACTAACCTTAATTAACTTAAATAGAGAGGACTGGAACTCCTTGATCTACTTATGCCATTAAGAACAAGCCTTCCCATGCACAAAACTGGAAAGAAGAAAGAAGTCCAACAAAGAAGAATAGCTCCTAAAATCAATGGGCTATGCAGAGCTAACGGCAAGAATAAGAGATCAACATGATGAACAATTTATGGAAGAGTGGAATTTTTGGCTTATTTGAAAAAATATATAACAACCAAATGAAATCGTGGGCAGGATTTGAAATGTGAGCAATGGGAAGAAAGGATAATATATGAACTAGAGGAATATATATTAGATGTGTGATGTAACAGAGGAATGCAGTCATGCCTTGGAAGTCGAATGGAATCCATTCCGGAAGGCCATTTGACTTCTAAAATGTTTGGAAACCAAAGCACAGCTTCTGATTGGCTGTGGGATGTCAGAGTATAAGAGAAATGTATAACAAATTTGAAGTCTGAAATTATGTTATGAAAATCTAATTAAAATTAAAAATCAAATTAAAAAATTAAGAGCCTTCCCAATTTTTTTAAAAAAAGAATGGTCTCTCACACTCAAGTGTTTAAATGCTTCCATCAGCTAGAGTGTAACATTTCTTTCTGACATGGAACCAGAACGCAGTTTGTAGAACTTCCTTTCACACATACACACCCCAAAAGAAAAGTCAGCACTGCATGATTCATACTTAATTAAAGCTTCACTTGTCAAAGAAAAAAAAATGAATGGCTATGATTTAAAGGCATGATACACAGATTGGAGAAGTATACTTATTGCTGGAGCTTTGTTTGCTAGCATTACCACAGCAGATCCTGCTGCTAAAGAGACAAGCAGCTTGTCTCTTCAGCAGAATGAAGTACAACAGAATCAGCCAAAGCTCAGGCTGCCCACACAGCTCCTGCAATATGTGCATGTTAGTCTTTTGGATTGTAGCCTGTATATTGGATAGATTCCCACTAATGATCTGGAGCAGCCTTAAGCCAGACAATCAAAGAAGACCCACTAATAGATCCCTGCCTCAAAGAGGTCCACTAAATTGTCAGACATCTGGTAGAGACCCAAAGGGATAAGTTCTAGATTGAGAAGTCTAAATTCTAGCTTGAGCAGCATTTAAAAATCAGAATAGAACATGTGAAAGGGCAAAATCATAACTGGAGATCCATCACTTGGAAAATGGGAAATTTTAAAGAAAACATTTGACCTCCTAACAAACTTCTACATAAACGCTTTCTTAAGTTCCTGGGAAAGAAACACTGTTATTAGCCTATTATGATTTAGCAGAACTTGACATGTTAAGCTAAGTTTTCTGAAATATATATATGTAAGAACAGGAATTGTCTTCACGTTGGGAAACATAAGATACTTCCTTGTGAACTTTTGCCTTTTGTTCCATGGAAGTTTTCAAGCTCCTTCCTGCTTGTTTTAATACAGCTCTTTGGTTCCTGAAGTGGGAAGAAAGAACGAGAAAACCTCCAAATCGTATTTAAGTTTCTGTTTTAAAGGAATGGCTGCCTATTTTTCTGTGTGCCTCAGGAGCTGGCCATGAATAGAAGCATTCATAAGCTCCTATTGTACAAACCCACAAAAAAGTGGCCTTGCCAGCAGGAAGTGAGACTAATGCCTGCACAGCCACTCAACAAAAGAATTCTAACCTTTATACATTAGCTGTGCGATAAGGTTTGTACAAGGGGAAAATTGACCAGTGACTGCAAAGTAGGTCAAATCTGTTAAAAAGAAGGGCGGAGGGAGAGGATGTTAAACTGAAATAAACTCCCCCATTTCCTCACCTGTTGCATTGCCATTTGCCTGGAATAATTTTGAGCCTTTACCAGGGCTTCTGCTGCCCTTTTAGCACGTTGCTGAGGGGCACCCTTGGGGAAGGCTGGAAGCGTCGCAAGCACATTCTCCACAGTGAACTCCTGGCTCAAGGAATTCTCCAGGATTTCCTGAAAAACATTGGGGGGGGGGAGTAGTAGTAAAAGGAGCACTTTACCCAAGGATAGTTTAAAGGAGCCATTCAATTTCTGCCCCCAATCACAGGTATCAACAGAAAACCCTCAAAGCGTAAATTTAACTGCTAGGCGATTTTACCATAGCTGCAGCATGTGTGATGATGGTACTCTTCCATCTTGCTTCATGCTGATGAAGCTGAAAACCACTTAATTTACACATGATCCTGTAACATGGTTAAGATGGTTGTCACTATGCTAGAGGTTACAGCAGGGTAGCTTGATCAGATCCTGTGCTTCCCTAGCAGTGACACCAAAAGCACATCAAGAACAATAGAGAAGGCAACAGAGTAAATAGCATCTGTCACAAGGTCGCTCGCATTTTAGTCACCATCCACCAATTACAACGATGCTCAATGATGATGAGTTGTGTAGTAGACAATACACCACGACACCAGTTTTGCAAGCTTCTTAGGGAGGTACATTTTAAGATTTGACTTATCACCTGAAATCAAGCAGTAATTAGAATCGTATGCCAATAAATACCAAATTATAATTCAAACAGACCTTTCAAAACAACAATAACCCACAATTGTCTATTGTCACATAGCCTTCAACATAGGAATTTTTTTCTATATTGAAAGCTACACACACAAGGTTAAAATAAAAGACACAGCAAAAGAAGGTATAATCCCCTGTCAGGTTCAGAATGATGGAATTTCTTCTCTGCTTCATTTGAAGTTTATGGCTACACTTAGTGCTACAAAACATTTTGAAAGTGTACAATTAATAAGAGAAACCACACAGCAGGCTGTGGAGAAAATATTTTCAGCCGGGGATTTAGGTGCCATGAAGCAGAGGTCAAAACCTCTATGAACAGACTAATTTACTATAAATCTTTTCAACTTGATTAATGTTGTTGATCTCTGTGATAAAAATAGAAAGCCCCAGTCATGACTAGCCTCTCATGAAGAGTGTGCATCAAATGCAATGGAACTTGGACAATAAGGATCTGAATGTTAAGTAATAATTGGGAGTAAAAGTATAAAAGAGCAAAGAATAAACTGGGTATAGATGGCGAGAAAATTGAGGGATATGGGGAGGAATCGAATTGGTGTGTTTCCACTAACAGAAGACACCAATTGAAAACTGTCAGAGATGCTCCCCTGCCCCACCAGGGGACTCTCAAAAGCAGAAGGGGGGTGCAGGAAGGTGTGAGAAAGAGATTGTGCAAGTTATTGCCACAAGTAGAAGAACATTATTAGATTTAGCTTTACTCCCCCCCCCCCCCCGCAGCACTGGATTCTAGTGCATGGGAAAGAAACAGCATAATACGTTTTCCGAAATACACATCGAAAGCACCTTTGAATCCATTTCCTTTTGCCATTTTAGCTGTAGTAATTGGGTAATGGATTGCGTTCACAATCCACAATTACCCATGTGTGAAATTGAGCAAGCGCTTCTTGGCATCTTTATACAAGCAGCATTATGGATAAACAACAGTATGCATCCAAGAGACGTAAAAAATAACTATTATCAAACCTATTAAAATAAACACAAAACATTGCTAATCTTGAAGTCATCAACAAGGTGTAACAGTGGAACAACAAGCAAGATCTTAGCATCTAAAGGACTCCTATGGAATCTGTGGAACCTGTTGCCACTGTGTGTGTGTGTGTGTGTGTGTGTGTAGAACGCTGAGGATTCCCTTCACAAGATTGAAAAGAAAGGGAAGAGGGTGAAATGGCTGCTAAGCGATGCCAATGACTTTGTAACTTATAAAGTATAACAAAGAATTTTCGTAGATTTGACTGTGGTTTTACTGTATGTATAGTGACTGTTGATGTTTATGTGTGATACCATGGCCTTTGGTTAGTGCAATAAAAGTTTATGACGCTGATGACGACATCCTCATTTAAATAATAATTATATTATTGCTCTCCCTAAATTCCCTCTAGGGGACAGTTTACAGATAAGGAGACACCTGCCACTGGTGCAGGACAAGGGAGGAACAAGAGCAATTGTTCCCTGAGAAAACCAGGTTGAAATTTGCTTTTTGTCATACCCAACAGCAAGCAGAAGGTAACAGGCATTGGCTCCCAGTCCATCATCCTGACAGACACTTCACTAATAGGTAACAATGATCTACCTGAACTTTCAAGGACTTGCTGTGCATTTTCTTGATACAAATTAAATGCTAGTTTATGCTTTGCATCCTACACCCAACACAATGGATTCACTGGAAGATGTTAAGTCCTACGTTTCCCCTTACAGGTAAGGCATTTCAGTCAATACGAAAAAGCAATGGGCATCATTTTTCATCATAATGCTGCTTCTCAGGAATGCAGCTAAACAGATGAAAGTTTGAGATCTCAGGCGGGGGGAATATAGGCGGTATTTCTGCCAAGACAGAAAAGAGAAGAGTCATTAAGATGGTGGGCAGCTTCCTATGTTCAATTTGGGGCTTGTCTTCTCCCTTCTGTCTGGGTCTTGCAGAGTAGTGCTTCCTCAGAATGCAATGATCAAATCTACTTTTTACCCAAATGCTTCCGGTTGGCAGTGTGAGCCCACTTATAGCTGTCATGTGATCCAGGAGCATATTAAAATTGATAAAATTAGAGTACAGTGCTTTACAAAAGCACCTCTCGGAATAGTGAGGAACAAAGTGCAGGGATGAGATAAGAAGCAAAGCGATAACAGTGAAACTCTACTTCAACAGAACATAAAACGTGGTCGAAAGCTCTGACATAGATACACCATGAAATGTAGCTGGTTGAAGTGTTGAAAATTATTTATAGAAAAGTCAGGTTTTTAAAGCAGTGACCTGGGAGGTTGTGCACCGCTTCTCCTTATTCCCTTAAGAGGAGCTCCTCGTCCACAAAACTTCAGAGTGCTTAATAGATCTTATCTTAGAAAACCCTTTTGAAGAAAGTCAGTGTTGCCATTATTTTTTTTAAAAAAAGATAAAGATAAAGATAGATCACAGCCTGTAACTTGCCACCAAGAAGGCTGAGCAGAAATTTGAATTGGGGCCTCCCGTATCCAAGTCCAGTACACTTGTCTCTTGGAAGACACTGGCCGTGTGAGTTGGTTTAATTTGTATGTTTTATCGGTCAGAGCATTTAAATCACCAGTTAAATAGGAAAACCGGTAGAAGCCATTACGGTGGCAACTTACTGCCATCTACAGACCAAAGTAAGTAGCATCTACATCACAGACAAGCAACCACTTCTGCCAGCTGATAATGTAGGTGGTAACAGCCTGCTCTAACACACACACACACACACACACACACACACACACACCCCATGAGAGTGAGAGAGACAAAGAGAACTTGAAGTTAGAGATCTGCTTCCTCTACAAATTCAGATTTAATGTTACTAATATTTGACCCTGACTGTTCATCTAGTACTCTGTTGTACATTAATAGAGCAGGAACAATGGAATCTGCTACTTTGAGTGGCCTGCAAGACCAACTCACCAATGGAGCTTGGGGGTTTTCAATTGCTTTGGGACATACTGCAGTCTTTTAAATTATCAACTGATTGCTGGGTTTATTTTAGCCACTTTTTTAAAAAGGTTATTAGATTGTGCCAAATTTTTCACAGAAAGTCAAATGATGAAATTCTAAAAACAAATTAATATTTTAATCAATTGAAAGAAGACATTTATTTGGTTAAAAATAATCTCATTGGTCAATCACCACTTCTAACCTAGATGAAAAGCAATTAAGATAGTACCATGCCATTTCTTTTGTTGTTGTAGCATTGGTATATGCTTGTAGCATTGGTATTAGCACAGCTTGATCATGCCTAAATTGGAGCTCAAACAAAATGAGCTGGAATACTAATCTGACAATAGATCACAGCAATCAGTGTGAACATGTGCATTACAACTGTGTGATTTTAAAACAAATACAACAGGTTATCTGGTGAACATACAACTGATATTAATTGGTAATAGCACCATGGGTTTCTGTTAGCAACCTTGAGGATCAGCCATCATATTTAAGGCTCTTTTCTGAATAATCAAACAAATCCATCAAATATAACCATTTTCCCATTGAAATTGTTACAACCCAGTGATTTGGATTTAAATATGTATATTTCGGGAAACTTCCACTTTAAATATTCCTTATTTTGGACTCCTGGGAATGGCGATTGCTTGTAGTAGTATATTACACATTCTAATCTGTTTGCACCATCTGAACCTAGTTTTTATTGGAAAAACCTAATATATATATTCTATAGATTTAAAAAACATATATATGTCTGATTGTAGAGTAAACTAAAACCAACATTCTCCCATGAGGCCAATAAGGAGGAGGAAACTGCATGGAAACGGCATCCATGCTAAGCCCAGTAATAACTTGCAGGTGGGAGGGAGATTGATAGAACATTATTTTACGGTACAGTTCTCATGTTAAAATGCTCATGCTGCTTTTGATAGATACACATGATATATTACTTCCCTGAAAGTGAAAACACAATTCTTTCATGTATCATCTAAGGCAAAATTGCCTCTGGAGGTGTCCAGAAATACTGGCTGGCACATAGGAATTCTATTCATTAGGTTGAGACTGCAATTCTTCAGGAAGCATTAACCGAAGAATTGCTAGAGATCCGGGTAACAACAGTGCCATTGCTTCTTGCTGTTCCAAAATCCATGTTGTAAAAAGAGCCCTTCATTTACTGAATCCCAGAACATTTCTTGTTTCACAGGCTTAAGCATGCTTGCAGATCCCAATTCAGTTATCCGCAGGGTGCATTCAGACATGGGGAACACTGTGATAGTTTTCCTGATTATAGCGCTAGCACGTCTGTTCTGTTTTCTAACATTCCTTTCACACCGCAGTGCCTGTTGTGTTGGTCTAAACCACCAAGCCTCTTGGGCTTGCTGATCGCAAGGTCAGCAGTTCGAATCCACATGACAGGATGAGCTCCCATTGCTTTGTCCCAGCTCCTGCCAACCTAGCAGTTCGAAAGCATACCAGTGCAAGTAGATAAATAGGTATTGTTATGGCGCAAAGGTAAACTGCATTTCCATCCACTCTGGCTTCCAACAGGGTGTCCTGTTGCACCAGAAGCGGTGTAGTCATGCTGGCCACATGACCTGGAAAAGCTGTCTGTAGACAAATGCTGGCTCCCTCTGCCTGAAAGCAGAGATGAGAGCCACATCCTATAGTTGAATTCAACTGTACTTAACCGTCCAGGCATGTGAGCCCAAAGTTTCCACCTAGGCTGAAAGTTGTCTAATTAAAGCCTAGGATTTGACATTAGAATGTTAGTGTGTTTGAATTACTGTAATGAATGAGAGATTCATCCGTAGGGGAGGGGTCTGCAACAAATACTGGACAGGTTGACAATTTCTAAGATGCCGACAGAATGAGATGTGATACAGCAGAAAGTGTTAGGGGTTAAGAGTCTTTTTCTGGGGATCTTCATTGTAGAAATAAATGCTTGTTAGTTGCCATTTATAATCTGCTTTCAGATTTGAAAAAAGTAAATATTAGAAAGGGGAAAAAAGAAAAAAAGAGTTTATTTCTTTCACAAACTGCACGTGTCACCTTTGAGAACTGGGAAGCTAGATTTTAAAATGTGTTTGTTATGTACAATTTTTTATAATACGGGTTGTAGTCAGCTATGTTTTACTCAGAGTAGACCTGTTGAAATTAAAAGCCCATAAGTACCTAAGGCCCATTAATTTCAATGAGTCTACTCTGAGTAAAAGTTCTTTGCTCACAATCCACAAATGTCATTTACAATCTCTCTGTTGCTTGCTCACATGTGACCTTTAAGACTCGACATCTAATACACCCAGGCAGAGGAGGTACTGCAAATGTTTCTAGAAATTCCAGCAATAAAAATACAAAATTCATATTCTCTGATTAACAGTTGAGTTAATTTTCCTTAGCCAGCTTGCTTCCATAGATGAATTACATAACGGAAAGATATTTTATAGCACAATTTAGCCAAACTGGTGAATTTCCTGGAAGACCCAATAGAACTCAAGGAATTTTGCTAAATCTCCACATCAAACTAGTGGCCAAAAGCATCAGCTGTCAGGTGCTAATTCCTTTCCCTTTGATTCTTGCACTCCCTGGTGTACACGCTTATTCATGAGACTTCAGGAAACCCCTTTTGTCTCCATCTCCATGGAAGAAGCCATAAAGAGACTACTAAATAATTCATCATAGCCACCCACTTACCAGTATCTCACTAACCTAAGGCACTAAATGTCCTTGCTTACTAACACCATAAATATCTGTTCGCAGCTCTCTAGAGGAGGTTAGGTGCTCGTGTTCTCATATAAGGCGGATATTGCATTCAGAAAACAAATTAGAGATAATTAGGCCTGCATCTCTCTTAATTATTCATTAATACGTTTTATTTGCTAGGTCAGCTGATTCAAAATACAACCTCAGAATAAACGCCAGCAAAATTATATATAATATAGAAGACAGGCAAGACTTATGTATCATATAAGCTTCTTAATGCTATTTGCTTCTGAAAGAATAATAAGCATCTTTTTTTTCAAAATAATGTTAAGGTTATTCAAAAAACGAAATATAAAATTGATCTTGTACCAAAAAAGTAACTGCATACAGAGAAACACCACCCCCATATACTTCCCCATCTCCTCCTTTCCAAAGCTTTCAACTCACGAAAGGCTTCTCTGACTAGTTTTCAAGGCCCCCTCAACCCACCCCATTGAGTAGGCTCCCTTAACCCCAGTAGAGCATTTGGGGAGGGTGGTCCTTGAGGAGGAGGGGGCAAAGAACTCGGCTTCCATCAGTCTTCTTATACACATTTAACTCTGGATACATGGGTGTGTTGGAGTCTTGAGCCTACAGATTATTGCTACAAGTTTCCATGGTTAGACAATTTGTGGTTTCTAAAGTCTGTGCAAAAGGCTGTAACTGCTCTTCCTATTTATTGTTTATTTGCTTACTTATAACTTACTGGATATGGCCTCCATAGTGTTTGCAAACAATAAAGTAGGTTACATTGTCAATCCAAATTTGCTGTGATTATTTAATATCCAAGGGACATTTCTGTTCTTTCCTTAAAGGAAGATATTAGATCTGTAATACAATCCAAACCATGGCTACTTGGGAGTGGGCCCAATTGTACTAAATGGAGGGCTTACTCTCAAGTAAAGGCTTCTGGGACTGCAGCCTTAATTATTTAAGATTCAAACAAAAAACAAATTAAAAACAGAAACAGTGTGACTTTAATTCTACTTAAAATGCAAATAATAGCAGCTTAGCTATGAAGTTGCTAATAAAGCCTCAGCCACAATAAAGATAAAGTAAGGATAAATGGGGAAAATTAATTTCAAATGAGATTATTAAAGCCTTTTTTTAGTTTTCTTCATTTGTTAGGCACCCAATTATCACATGGCTAATTAGACTGCATTATAACACACTTTAAACAATGCCCAAAGATAATAATCTAATATAATGTCACACTCTATTGCCTTGGTGGGGGAAAGGAAAATTGCTTACCAATATGCTCATTTGGTCTCACTGGCTTGAGGACCAAAGAGAATCTTGCCGAAAAATTCTCAGGCTTCAAAGTTCCCTATCATCCCCTTTTCCTGAGCCACAATTGGCTTTCTCCTCCCATCAATCTCTCTATAAAAAGGTGAAACAATTAAATTTCATATTTTTTTCCTGCTCAAGCTTCTCCTTTCACTGGCTTCCCATTCCTTCAAGGGAAGAAGCTGTTGGAAGCACTATGTCAGTTTAGATGTACATTTGAGTTTTTAGAAGTGTTGAGACCATTCCAATGTTTGCTCTTTGATAGAAGCGCAAAACCGTTCTAGAGGTGTTGCCAGAGGGTGGAGGCGGGGGTGATTGCTGCTGCTGTTTTGTTTTTGTTTTTGAAAAAAAGTTTTCTGCAATTCATACACCATTTTCTAAAAAAATATAATTTGACAATGTTAAGAAAGGTTTCTATGTTTCCATAAATCACAGCAGGCAGGCATCGAGGTAAGGATGTTCAAAATTTCCTGTATATTCATTCAGAATTCTCGCCTACAGCAAGTTTTGAATATGCTGCCACACATTCAGCAACACAGATATCATTGAGAAGACACAACCTGTGCCTCATCTTCTCAAAATGTTTAGCCTAAAAATGGTGTCTAATTCCCAGCAAGGAGGAGGATCCCTGAGCAGATCTAATCCAATCACTGACAATGGAGTAGAATGAAAAACAATTGAAAAAATCCAAGCACATGGGCTTGGGGAACTTGGAACTGGAAATCATCAGGTGGGTTCTGGTAACAAGAGGGCTGCTGCACTCAGGTCTCACTTGCGGGCTTCTGATGGCATCTGGTTGGCACCTGTGCCACCAATGAACTAGATGGGCCTTTGGTCTGATCCAGCAGGCCTCTTCTTATAATTTTAACAAAGTTTTTTGAAAGTCTCTGTAAGCAATGTCAACTGGATCTCCTCTATCAACATGCTTATTGCCTCTGAAAGAACTCTAAAAGATTGGTGAGGCCAAACCTACCCTTGTAGAAAGCGTGGTAGCTCTGTTTCAGCAGAGCTCTGTTCTTTTATATGCCTTATAATCATATCTTTAACCACTGTTTCCACCGTTTTTTCACCCAAAAGAGGCATTAAGCTAACCAGCCTGTAAATGTCCTGGTTCTCCTCTGGATCCCATTTTTTAAAAAAAATAAAATAGTGTTATATTGGCCATTTTCCAATCCGCCATTATGGCAGCTCATCTTAGGAACAAGTTACATACAGTGGTACCTTGGCTTAAGAACTTAATTCATTCTGGAGGTCCATTCTTAACCTGAGGTACCACTTCAGCTAATGGGGCCTTTCACCACCGCCACACGATTTCTGTTCTCATCCTGAAGCAAAGTTCTTAACCTGAGGTACTATTTCTGGGTTAGCGGAGTCTGTAACCTGAAGCGTATGTAACCTGAAGCGTCTGTAACCTGAGGTACCACTGTATTGTTAAATGAGAAATTTCTGGCCATCTGAGTTCTTTAAGAACTCTCAGGTGGAAGTGATTTGTCAGTTTTCAGTTTGTCAATAAGGCCTGAAACATCATCTCTTGTCACAACTATTTGCCTCAGTTCCTCAGACACCCTTTCTAAGGAAGTTAGTTCAGATACAGGGGTCTGCCCTAAATCTTCTGCTGTGAAGACAGAGGCAAAAAATTGATTTCATTTCTGTGCATTTTCATTTTCCTGCTTTAGCATTCCAGCAGTAAACAAATGGGCACCACTACATCAGAAGGACTCTCTATCTGGAATCATACAGGAAATATAGGTGAACTTTAGCAGCAGCTGTGGGGAAAGGTGGAGCACCAGCTTATTCTCTTTGATGCTGGTTTAACTTTCTGTGTTCAGTAAAAAAACATTAACTAATGGTAGGTTGTTTGGTATTGACTCTCTAACTGGCAGCTGTTCTCCTGTTCTACAGACAGGGATCCTTTGTTCAACATCAAATATGAGAGAGAGACCCCTTTCCACATCATACTGCCAATATGGAATCTGATGGAGTCTAGCTCCTTCCTGCATCACTGAGGAATTATGAGAAGCTCACACTTCATTGTCCCACTTTCTGGAAAGACTCTGGTGTGAGTAGGAATAATCCCGCAGTGGCTCCCACGGTACACAAGTAAGAACAGGTTTAAGTGAAGAATATATTTGGACGCATTTGCTTGTCATCAAATAGTTCTGTACATAGTGGTACATCTGCAAAAGATGCCCGTGCAATATTATGAATTGATGATAACTACAAGATACCAACAAATGTATTTTATTTTCTGCCTGAAAAGAATGGGGAGGGGACGACACTTTTCCCCTCCATCGAATAAACAGGAATGAAGTATGATTAAGAGCCAGAGGCAGACTAGAACTTGATTATACATAACAAGGAGAACGTAGCATTTTGGCTAGCATTTAAAATTGTTCTGAAACAATCCCTCTCCAGCCTGCCAAGCACAACACTCACCCAAGGTGCTGAAGGTACCAGAAGCGTCAAAGTGAGCAAATCATTGCAACATTCCTCCACAGACTGCTGACACTGAGTTGCATGATTTATCAGCCGAGCATAAACAGCAGTTGGTAGGATGTGCTGAGCTGCCTCAGAGGACATCTGTCCTGGGGCAAGAACAAAACCCAGATTTTGCCTCACGGCAAGCAGGTGTCTCCGCAGCTTGCTAAGTTTTCCTTCAAGAGTGCTCTGCGAAAACAAGAAAGGTTACGAGGAGAAATGGTAAACATTGAGGAAAGAAAAACAAGTTAAGCATGCCAGGTGAAAGGGCACATGCCCTCGCTAGGTACCTGCAAGGCACCACAGTGGGTAGGCTGACATTTCCAAAACAATCACTTGGGAACTGTAGTGGAGACGTCAAACCCCAGGCATTCCACTGCCGTTCCCCCCCGCCCTTCCAAGCCATCTGTGGAAAACATGTGTTGAGGGGGCATGATCTGACAAAGCATGAAACACAACAAATTGCCAGAATTCTAGCTTCTTAAAACAAATAAGAAAACAGAGATCAAAGCTACCCTCCAAACAGGGCTGATTGTTTTTCCAAAAGAACAGCTCAGAGCTAGAGTAGTAAAAAGGATTTTTTGGAGAGGGTGGGGGAATCAAACTTCTAAACAGAGTATTAGAAAACCATAAACAAGCCAATGTTTATCTTCTACCTACCACAGAATCCTGTGTCCTTTTCCTGTTTAAACCTTTAGCCAGCTGTATTTGCCATTTATTGAACAGCATGTTTTCATTTAGTATAGACTAAGAAGTCATTGCTAAGATCAAGCGCTCATTTTGAAGCAATTAGCATAAAAAGATTAAAATGTATAAATGCTAAGATAAAGAAGAATGTGCAGTTGTACTGCCAAATAACACCCCCAAATAAGACTGGTATACATTCTGAGAATATTCACATATTTAAAAGAATTTGCCAAGACAAAAACATTTGGATGCAAGTGTTCATGCAAATTTCTTCATAATACACACAGCATCTTGAATGCTACAATATGAGCTGTTTCTCTCATCTTTTATGTACAACTTTGAATACTTCATTTTCATTCAGCACTTATCTGATGCTTCTAACAGTTACACATGATTATGCATTTCGCAGCTGATGTTGTTCTATACTTCATATAAGCAACAACTTCAAATGAAAAATAGGTTTTTAATTTATGGATACTTTGCACACAGGTGTGTGTGTGTGCACGCACTTACAAACAGAAAGGATGTAGTTATAGTCGTTTTGCTTCCAAAGGGAAACCAGGCATCAGTAAAAACCTCAGGTTCTACAGAATTAAAAAGTAGCTCATCCCAGTTACTCTAGTCCCTTGCAGATAAGAGTACAAAGCATTTAAAACATCCTGAGGTTGCCTATATATAATTTTCCATCCCTCTGGAAGTGAGCGAGCATATCTCTTTGCATGAGCAGAAGAACAACCAACAGAAACTCACAGGGAGAGAACAAATTACATGCTAGGTTTGGTAACCCTCTGACACATCATCTCTGAACTGCATATAAGTACCAATTGAGTTTAGAGATACAAATTCAAGCTTAAGTTCTGTAAAGTCATACATAAATTGGCTCCACTGAAATCAAAGTAATTCCTGAACACAACTGTAAACCTCATTTTATCTCAGCTCTTTCCAGAAAATATGAAGGCAGGATGAAAGCTAGCTTTTGTCTGCCCTCAGTCCTTCTCTCCTGGCAACTGCTACCCAGATCCGAGAAGAAATAGAAGCAAAAAGAAGTGTGTGCTGATGGGAAAGCGTCAGAGATGTGAGGAAGGCTCAATTTTAGATGCAGAGTCAAAACTTGAACTGTAGGCAGAGACTCTTTGTTCACTTCTGGACAGCTAATGAGTCACAACAGCTGATCGTCAACACAATAGCTAACAGAGGAACCTTTGTGTGTTGCATATGATCCTGTAGCTTACTTAGGGTGTGAGGTCAGTGCATGTGTAACACTGACCAGGTCACTGTCACTGGGTGCAAACTAAGCATGCATTCTAGAGCACATCCCACACTACCTAGTGGATGATTACAGTGATAAGCAAGCTGTCTAGTACGGAAGCTTATCTGTCATTAAAGACCTTCTCACTAAGGAACCTCACTAAGGAACCCCTGATAAGCCCTCTAAGGAACTTTGAGGTTTTCCAGTACACAGCTTGCACATCACAATCTGATATCTGAATTTAAGTTTTTTTCTGTCCTCTAATGCTTTTAAAATTCCAAGTACTTGACAACCAATGGTGTCCCATTTAAAGACCACTCAGTTATTTAGTAACTTCTGTGAAAACACCTCAACAGGGAAAGATTGTTCCAGACTTTGCAATCTGTAATGGATAAAGAGTACTTTGTACTATATTTCTGTATTTTTTTAAAAAAAACTATTAGTATTTTTGAAAGCATTACAGTATATATAAGCTTTACACTAATTTGAAGACTAAGTATCTGACACTTCTGTTATTATTTTGCTCAAGTATCCTTGATTTTCATAAATATTCTTGATATGATCATATTTTTCATGGTGTCCTTCCATTGTCTATGGTTTTCAGTGAATGCTTTTCTTTCTCAAGGCAGGATTGTGCATTCCAAATGAACAGTGAAACCTATCCAGATGTTGAATGAATATTTATTTGCGTCATGCCATCGGGCCATAGCAATAAAACAACAATACGATATACACAAATAAAAGTCAATTATCTAACATACATTTTAGGTTTTGAATCAATAGTCAAATAGTGGATCTTATTCTAATTGCCTCAGCTAAAAACCTTGCAACCATACCTATCCAGATATGTCAAGCTGCCCTTGTACAGGTGAAACTCAAAAAATTAGTATATTGTGGAAAAGTTCATTTATTTCAGTAATTCAACTTAACAGGTGAAACTAATATATGAGATAGACTCATGACATGCAAAGCGAGATATGTCAAGCCTTTATTTGTTATAATTGTGATGTTTATGGCATACAGCTGATGAAAACCCCAAATTAACAATCTCAGAAAATTAGAATATTAAATGAAATCAGCAAAACAAGGACTGCAAATAGAGCAATATTGGACCTCTGAGAAGTAGAAGCATGCACATGTACTCAGGACTTGGTTTGGGCCCCTTTTGCATCAATTACTGCCTCAATACGGCGTGGCATGGATGCTATCAGCCTGTGGCACTGCTGAGGCGTTATGGAAGACCAGGAAGCTTCAATAGCAGCCTTCAGCTCTTCTGCATTGCTCGGTCTCATGTCTCTCATCTTTCTCTTGGCAATGCCCCGTAGATTCTCTATGGGGTTCAGGTCAGGCGAGTTTGCTGGCCAATCAAGCACAGTAATCCCATGGGCATTGAACCAGGTTTTGGTACTTTTAGCAGTGTGGGCAGGTGACAAAGTCCTACTGGAAAATGAAATCAGCATCCCCATAAAGCTTGTCTGCGGAAGGAAGTATGAAGTGCTCCAAAATCTCTTGGTAGATGGCTGCATTGACCCTGGACTTAATGAAGCACAGTGGACCAACACTAGCTGATGACATGGCTCCCCAAATCAACACAGACTGTGGAAACTTCACATTGGACTTCAAGCATCTGGCATTCTGTGCCTCCCCATTCTTCCTCCAGACTCTGGGTCCTTGGTTTCCAAGTGAGATGCAAAAGCTGCTCTCATCAGAAAAGAGATTTGGGGAGCCAAATCTTCATCAAGTCCAGGGTCAACCTAGCCATCTACCAGGAGATTTTGGAGCACTTCATGCTTCCTTCCACAGACGAGCTTTATGGGGATGCTGATTTCATTTTCCAGTACGACTTTGTCACCTGCCCACACTGCCAAAAGTACCAAAACCTGGTTCAATGGACATGGGATTACTGTGTTTGATTGGCCAGCAAACCCGCCTGACCTGAACCCCATAGAGAATCTACGGGGCATTGCCAAGAGAAAGATGAGAGACATGAGACCGAGCAATGCAGAAGAGCAATGCAGAAGAGCAATGCAGAAGAGCTGATGGCTGCTATTGATGCATCCTGGTCTTCCATAACACCTCAGCAGTGCACAGGCTGATAGCATCCATGCCACGCCGTATTGAGGCAGTAATTGATGCAAACCAAGTCCTGAGTACATGTGCATGCTTCTACTTCTCAGAGGTCCAATATTGCACTATTTGCAGCCCTTGTTTTGCTGATTTCATTTAATATTCTAATTTTCTGAGTTTGTTAATTTGGGGTTTTCATCAGCTGTATGCCATAAACATCACAATTATAACAAATAAAGGCTTGACATATCTCGCTTTGCATGTCATGAGTCTATCTCGTATATTAGTTTCACCTTTTAAGTTGAATTACTGAAATAAATGAACTTTTCCACAATATTCTACTTTTTTGAGTTTCACCTGTAGTTTCAAGTAAGCACATAAGTATTAAGAAAACACCTGTTGTATTTATAGATGCTTGGAGGCTGAAGCCAAGTTCTCACTATATTACTGATTTCAGTATGTTCATGTCTGAGTGCACCTGGCTTTACAGTCTAGAGGTTGAGATATAGGGCTGCTAAGAGGCTGCCTCCTCCCCTGTTCTCCTCAGTCAGTACAGCATGAGACTTGATCTCAGGGTTGTGGGTTCGAGCCCTGTGTTGGGCAACAGATCCTTGCATTGCAGGGCATTGGACTAAATGACTCTTGGATTCCCTTCCAACTCTACACTTCTATGATTCAATTGCTAGGCTCAGCAAGTTAGAATAAGAAGCCTACAAAGAAAAAATTCTCACTACCTAAAGGGTTCGCTGACTGATCTTCAATTCCAAATTGTACATGTGTGCATACATTCCATTCCTCCCTGAGGTCCATCAAAGTCAAAAACAGATGATGGTCTGATGGTATGTTATGCATTGCTACAGCTAAAGTTATGTTTTGCGGTTGAGATAGCACCTGGAAGCCATCTCCAGGCTCTCTGACAAAGTGCATGATTTAGTAGCTGAATAAAGAAAATGAACCAAGGCATTCTGCAAAAGCAGTGTGAAACATGTTTGTTTAAGCCAAGGGTAGCCAAGGTTGTGTCCTCAATATGCTGTTGGGACTATAACTCCCATCATCCCTTACCTTTAGCAGGGTGGATGGGGCAGATGAGAGCTGGAATGCTGCAACTTCTAGAGGGTGGACACCACAGCAACCACCCCTGATTTAATCATTTCCAGTTAGAATCAGGATAATCTAGAAGTTTATATTTTAAATAATATCTTTGATTTTTTTTATTGCTGCGACTCACCCTAAGCATGAGGGGCTGTACTTTCTAGAAACCTAGGCAATGTTGGAAATTATCTCACTGTCCTCTGAAACACTTACGTCATAGAATTTTAGAGTTGGAAAGGATGCTGAAGTCTCTGCATTTTATTCTAGTTCCTTCATTCAACATTGTGCTTTATTACTATTTTATTAACAAAGTGCTTCCCAAATAGTTCTAACTTAGTATGTCTCCATTCGCAGGGTTCCAGCTCTGGTTAAGTGGAGAAGGATGAGCAAATAGATTTAACCTTCAACTGATAGAAAAAAGCAACAATGGAGCATAATAAGCAGAACCACACTTGATCTACAAAGAACAAGTAGGAAAGGTTACCCAATCAAATCAGCTTTCATTAGCATCACAAAAGGTTTTTCAAGAGCTTCTAAATAACATCTAGTGTTGGCTCACCTATTTGAGCATATTTCACTCTAGTTGAAGGCTTCTTTTTTGAAGTTTCTCACTATATGATTTCAAACAAAGATCTAAGAGTTTCCATGTTAAAAGCTGCTCTTTCATGCCAAATGTTTCCAACAGCCAATTCTCACTACAGCCTTCATTAGAGAAATTAAGCAAGTTTTATTTTTTACACAAGTGCCTGCATGAATTTGCTTTTTGCTTTTTAGCACATTACCTCAATAAAAGGGAAGTGTGTGTAATATTTATCGTGAAAAATAGGCACGACTGTACATGGAAAAGAAATTACTCAGGCTAGAGAAAATATTTTCCCTCTTTAAGAACATTTGCTACCTTCTGTCCTTCTGAGAGCTGGAGAAGGTTTCATTCCATTATGTGCACACATGGAACTACATATGAGGGGCTACACAGAGACCACAATGAAGAACTGCATATGCTTCTTGACTGTAACTCCAGCATGCACCTAAATAGCCTAATATTTACATGGAAACAAGTTCCATTTAAATTAAAAGGATTTAAATTCAAGTACACGTGTTCATTATTACTGAGTTTCTACTGTTGGTCTGAAGACTGCACATTATCTTCAGAGTTCTACTTAAGCAAGTACCACGCACCAGCCAGATTTACAGGACAGGGAGACTAAAATGAAAGGGGAAGTGTGAGAATTATTGATATGCTTTGGAAAAAGACTGAATGTAGCTCCCTTTGTGTTGCTGAAAGGTGACCTTTCCCCAGAACCAATTAAAATTATGAAATGCTCCAAGAATGTAAACCCGTATTTGTCATTGCCTTTAGCAGGGCGCATTATAACAACTGTCATAGCAAACGGGGTTCTGATACCGGGGCTTTAATTGCAAAGCTTAATACATGTATGTTAATATGCAATGCAAGCGCTTCTCAGCAGGTGTTCTATGTGATGAAGTTAGCTTCATGAATAATTCATCACAAGAGCCACTTCTGCCGAGATACAATTTGCAATGTTTTTCAAGTGAGATCAGTGAAAATCAGGAGCTGTCATTGCCAATTTGTTTCAGTCCCGATTCAGAAGGTCACACCCTTGACACGCAACAGAGGTTAGAAATGCCCTTTTCTTCTTTTACATGTCAGCCATCATATATACTTTTATTTCCACCCTTGCCTCCCTAGAACTTAGAATGCCAGGTATTATCTGGAAAGTTCACACCAAAAAAAAACCAAGCTCAAAAGCAGAGCTTTCTGTCGAATTTGAATAAATTTTTACTTCTCCTGTTCACAAACGTGTATTCCTGCTTTGAATCATGAAGTTAAACCAGATCCCCGAAACATCTTACATTTGGCCCAGTTCATTTATAATGTCAAGTTTGCATATTCCACCCTTCCCTCTCCCCTCTGGAACAGCCACAGAGTGGAGATTGGAAGCATCCACTTCCTGTGATTTATCATTATGCCCATAGAGAATAAACTCTTGTTAATGTAAACTACAGTTTACTTAAAACAGGCCAGGATGAAATGATAGTTCATTATTCCAGTGTTTCGTTAAACCATAGTTGACGTTAAACAGGAAGCAGATGCTTGAAACCTTCACATGGTCACCCAGGAGGGAGTGTGTAAAAGCCTGAGACTCAAGCAAACACATCTGCATAACATGAAATTATGGTTTAGTGTTGCCTCCAAACAAGCTCATGCCATATTTAAATGGAGGATTCTACCTCATCCACCAGGTTTTTCTTATTTTGCTATTAAACAGTATTCACAACCTAGAGATACATTTCCAAAACCTGTTTAAATTTAGACATAAAATATACAGTGGTACCTCGGGTTAAGTACTTAATTCGTTCCGGAGGTCCATTCTTAACCTGAAACGGTTCTTAACCTGAGGCACCACTTCAGCTAATGGGGCCTCCTGCTGCCGCCCGGCCGCCGGAGCACGATTTCTGTTCTCATCCTGAAGCAAAGTTCTTAACCCGAGGTACTATTTCTGGGTTAGCGGAGTCTGTAAGCTGAAGCGTATGTAACCTGAAGCATATGTAACCCGAGGTACCACTGTATAGAGATACAAAAATTCTGAACGTCTTCACTGCGGAGAATAAGAGGGATGCAGAAAAGAGTCACTTTGTGTCTCTTAATATTTTCTCATCTTCTGATTTGACTTGCACCAGTTCTTTATTTATACTTCTGCCAAGCATGTCTTTGTCCTCAGCCAGTGGTGGTAGTGTTCCTTTATGAAACCATTGCTCAGTGGTGGCTGATGAAATATGGCATGGCAAATATGGTTGAATCCAACACATCATACTTAACATCCCATTGTACACAAGAGCACACAAAAATCTTATCAGGCAACACTGTGGCAATAATTCAGAAAACAAAAGACTGTCAATATACAGACACTGATTTGGTGCCAAGCCAGTATAGAAGTTTATCATCGCACTTGCAGCCCCAGAGCTACGCTGAGAAATGCTCTTGAACAAGATGCCTAACTTACCCTCCTCCTGTCATGTGGTATCCAGCATATTCATGCTGACATCACAACACGGTTCTGACTGGGATATCTAAAAGCAGATTATCTTTTTGTGTATTCTTTTGCACTTAGATATGTCTTGTACAGTAATAATGTAAAAAAGAGTTATACTAGCATAAGTCACTTTTTTTTTTGTTCTAGTCAAAATGTTATTCTGTAAAGGCAAATAGCTCTGCCTTTAATTGAGCATCCCTTGATGGAAATCAATATCCCCTCAAGTATACTTTTAATCATATGGGATTTTAGTCATTAACCAGTCTGAAAGTAAGAGGGGCAAATGATTCATACGAATGCTAATTAATTTTAATATTTTAAGGAATAAAAGAAGACAGTCAAAGTAAAAGTCAGGGAAGAAATGAAGCATTCTTCCTTGTATTTCAATTCATTAAGTCCTTACCACATATCTCAGATTTAAATTTTCTATTTTGCCATAGCAGACGTCCAAAAGGGTAATTGGCTGTGTAACAAGGTTCCCTCCCATAGTCCAAGGCAATGCAAGTTTTGACAGATCAGAAATCTGAAAAAGAGGGACAGTAGGAAATAATTTTTAAAACAGTTACATTGATTTTGTATTTCATAGCTAAACCCTCCCAAAGTTTAGTTCATCTCAATTTAGCTGAGCAAGCCCTGATGCCTCTCCAGCTCACAGGAGCCAGAAGAATGGGGTGAGGCTTCCTAAAAAGGTGCAGGCAGGCAGGATGGAGTCCGAGACGGTGCTCGCCTGGAACCTTCTCTTCTCAGGCTCCTTGTGCCTGCCTGCCTGCCTGCCTGCCTGCTTACCCCCTTTGCCACCTGCATGCAATTTGAGCTGGTGCAATGTATTTCTAGATCAAATTGTCTGAAACCGGTATCGCGACCCTGAATACCATACTGGTTTCGGACAATTTACCAATATATCGCCCAGCTCCAATGGCAGCCAGAGAAGGTTGTGACCGAGGCGCGCTACAGATTGGCCAATGCATAAGGAGTATTGAATGCATAAAATAGGCCTGCACACAAGTCCTACCAAATGCTATACCCTTGGGTGCATGTCTGGGGTTATCAGAAGCAAGGCAGGAGCATCATGAGGGCATGGAATAGATCCAGGAATAGGTATCATCTGGTCTGGCCCTTTATAGTTAGAAGTTCCTGAACAAGTCCAAAGCTGTTGGATTGCTTCTTAAATATAAAAATCACCAACTTCCACTGCCCAAGTGCTTATTCCTAGTGGGGTGGGGACTGTTGCTGCTGTGGGTAGGCATACGGAGCATTGGTTTCTCAAGCTGTGTTTACCTGGCCAATGTAAGTGGAACATATGCTTCTATTGTGTTTTATTTTGCTTCTGCCTGCGGAACTGGAATTAGATGTTATGTGACTGCATGACAGTCATTATGCTAGCCAGTATGCATCGGGGCAAGTGAAACTCAAACCTTGAAGACAACCACATTGTCAAGTCAGAGCTGTAACCATGGCAACAGCCATGCTGCTTCAAAGGGAGAAAGAAAGACAAAATAATATATCTGATATACTATTATTGTAGAAAATAAAATAGGATTTAAAAGATGGTTGGATCAACTTCCTAAATTCATGGCAAAGTGTACTTTTTGTAACTAACAATTTTGATCACTTCATTATTATTTTTATTAAAAATTTCCCCCACCCAAACACACCATTGTAGGTTTGAGTATTTCCAAACTTAATATTTCCAACTGAGTCATATTCTCTGTAGATCCACTGAAATAAATAGACTAACATCATAAGTCCATTGGTATCAATGGGTTTACTCTAAGCGTGGCTAATGTTGGATATCAGCCCTATTATGTGATAGGAAATAGGGCATGCTGTGTTTTTGTAGTACTTTTTCTTTGTAAACTCATTTAATAAAGTGGCATTTACTTTAAAACTTATTAGGATAATTTGTAACCTGCTAATCATCTTTACTACTGTCATTTTCCCACTAGGTCCACTGATGTCCATGCTGACTTTTTTGTTCTTTGATTTTATGAAAAATAAGAACTTCAGTAATGAAAATGCCTGTACATTTCTGTGACTAAAAACAGCATGTAGAAAATGCCTATACCCGATTTAAAAGTTCAGGCGAAGTAGCAGTAAAAAATGCTGCTATAAAGGAGAAAAATACAATATGGATGAACAGGTCTCAGAGAGGTTCAGCTGTGGGTGACAAGCAAGATAACCAGAGCTCACTGCAACAAAAATCAAGAGGATTTCTGTACCCCAGAAAAGCAAGGATATTGCCAAGTGCCAGTTATGAGGGTTGGGGAAAACTGCAGAAAGGCTGGGAGATGAAGGTGAAACCCAAAGATGTACTTTCAGCCAGCCCAGGAGTTTGGGTTTATCCAACTGATTTTTTACTTTTATTCTTTAAACAGCACCCCACCCAGACACCTGCCCACAATACAGGAACAAACTGCCTGCTTAATTCTTCATACCCTCCTGCGAGCTAGTACCATAACTCTTTGGAACCCAAATGAGGTTCCAGTTGCTGCCTTCAAGACTGCCCACCTCAGGTTGCAACTGTGGCTATGCCACTGGCACTGCACCTGCACCTCTTTCCATGGACCACTTGGGTCAAGAGAGGAGAGGAAAGAAGTCTTCAGAAGCTCTCTGCTTGTTCAGACCTACCCAGCCACAGGCTTTCACTCCTAATACTGCATTCTGTGCACCAGTCCCCCCCCCCCCGTCCTGTGTTGCTGACATTCTGTTACATCTGCACCAGACGTTCCTCTGAGCTCGGGTTTGAATAACTGTCTAATAACCAAGATAAAGATGCTCTCAGATTCTCAGCACATGGAACTACGTATATGTACATCACAAGAACAATTATATACAAATTAGTCCATAATCTAGCCTCTTCTTTTATGTATAGCTACATTTTTTAAAAAAACCTAAATTTAACATTCAAAGCACAGTTATCCTAGCCTACACTTAATTAGTCTGGAGCATACATAAGCTAAAAATGTGTATCACCTTAATCATTTTCCATCCCACACTTCTGAAGAAAGACTGGCTTCTGTAAAATGATATTATAGAATTTAATTTATTTCAGTTCTCACCCTTTCCTATAGGCTCACTAACATCTACAGTCTCCATTTTCTTTTTCTAATTGAGTTTTTGAGGTGCATTTGAGATATGAGAGATTCTAATACACCGAGAAGTGATATTACACCAAATTAACCTACACAAGAACCACCAGGCATTTCCTGCTGCTTCTTGAAGAATTCAATTACTTTGACACAGACTATGAAAAAGTGATTTCCAGTATAGGACAAGAGTAAACTGAGTTGGGTTTCCTGAAAGAAATCTATATTTTCTTTTTTAAAAACAACAACAGTTGTTCCTGCTTGATTGACAGCAGAGAAATGAAAATTTGTCAGGCTAGAAATGCTAAAGTTTATGTGTTGTACTATGATAAACTATAAAACTTTTAACAGGAAAAAGCACAATGTAAGCAAGGAACTAAAATGGGCTCTCTCCAAAACCATTTCATAAGGCTAGCTAATTAAGATTCATATTAAAAATATTTCCTGGTTTTTTCCTTCTGTATTCTTAATACATTTTTCTTTCCTTTACCACATTTGTATCCCTTTCTTTAAGACAGTGGCTGGGAACTTTTGACTCTCCAAATCTTATTGGCTACAGCTCCAATCATCCCTGACCATAGGCCATGCTGGCTGGAGCTGATGGGAGTTGTGATCCAACAATTCCTAGAGAGCCACAGGTTCCACACCAAAAGTGTTTCTTGGACCTGTGTATATGGGAGCTATCCAATTTCATCCTCAAAACAACCATAGTAGCCTAGGATGAGATAGTGATTGATCCCAATCCACCCAACAAAAATATTTATTTGCCAACTAATTTTCAGCCCTCTGGATCAAACCATAGTCTGGTAGTCTGGGCACAATGTCCAAACAGATGCCTATGGGAAGCCCACAAAGAGGACACTACAAAATGAATAGATTTCTTTTTGTATTTCCTTGCTTGCAAGGACACTATGCAAGATAATCCCCTATAGGTGTGCTGGATTATGGGCTACATGCTCAGAAATGCAGTAAAGGGTAACTGAAATGATCAAGCAACTAGAGAAAAAATTTCAGCATTCAGCTGTTTTAGTTTGGCAAAAAAGGCAAGGTAAAGGAAACAGAATGTTTATTTATAGACTGCTTAATGTAAAATAATATAAAAACCTTTTAAGCATCTTGAAATGGTAAAAGACAAATTTACGGAGGGTAAGGCTGTCAGTGGCTGCTAACCACATTGGCTATGTCCTCCCTCCACTGTTACGAGGCAGCCTGCCTTTGAATACCAGTTATTGGAGAGCATGAGCAGAAGAGTGTTTTTACAGCTCACGCTTTACTAATTAGTAGTAGTAGTAGTAGTAGTAGTACTATACCACCCTTCATCTGCTCCAGAGGGTCAGGCAACCCTCCAGAACAACAGGGAGCTTCAGGGAGGAAGAGAGGTAGGGGAATTCCAGCTGGATGAGGGAAAGGTAGGAAATCACACATTTAAAAAATCATTAACAATATACAAATATAAACCTGATGTTGTCATAACTCACCTGCTGGTTTCTTTGAAGTTTTAGTCTCATTGCTTCACATATCTCGATTACTTGAAGAAGTTCTGGACGTGGAATGGTTACTTCAGTTGCAGTTCCTTCAGCACTGAGAAAAAAACTATGTAAAGTACAATGCATTATTATAGTCACATTTTTCACTTTTTAATACCGTAAAGAAAAACACAGATTGTTTTCATTATTTGCATGCTTTTTATAATAGTGCTTATTTTGCAAGTGAAATAGGCACTAACAAAGAATTCAAAGAGCACATTTATATAATCAGTGTTTTAAGTTAACTTGAATACCAATTATGAAAGCATGCTTTCAAAACATAAAGGTAAAGGGACGCCTGACCATTAGGTCCAGTCGTGGCCGACTCTGGGGTTGCGGCACTCACCTCGCTTTATTGGCCGAGGGAGCCGGCGTACAGCTTCTGGGTCATGTGGCCAGCATGACTAAGCCACTTCTGGAGAACCAAAACAGTGCACGGAAACGCCGTTTACCTTCCCACCGGAGCGGTACCTATTTATCTACTTGCACTTTGACGTGCTTTCGAACTGCTAGGTTGGCAGGAGCAGGGACCTAGCAACGGGAGCTCACCCCGTCGCGGGGATTCGAACCGCCGACCTTGTGATCGGCAAGTCCCAGGCTCTGTGGTTTAACCCACAGCGCCACCCGCGTCCCTTTTCAAAACATACCTCACTGCTATTTAAGTTATCTCCTGGAGCCTTTGCAATAGTTAAGAAATGTATTTTCCTTTAGTGCCAAGCATATTTTACCACTATATGCTAGCATACCTATACTAATCAGAAATAAAAATTCCCCAGTATCTTGAAGAATAGTTCCCTTGGCCAATATGCAAAGAGATGTGGGCAGTACTTCTACACACAACTAGGAGAGGCAGCAATTTACCACCACCAATAGACTGCGTTCACCCCACCTCACACACACAAATACCAACACAAGAAATGAAATAATTTACTGCATAGTAAATTAATCTGGAGGATTCCCACCCCCTAAACCTCAAGTGCAGCTTTTAAGGGAGCAATAGGAGATTTAAAAAACTACAGTGCACCAAGAAAATACAGTCCTTGGCATCCCAATCCTCACTTCCTGCATTTCAGAATGATGTTTTTGTTGCTGTTATTATTAATGTTTCTTTTTTTTATAACTGCAGCAAAACAAGTTTTGGAAACATGAAATACACTAAGAAAATTATTCACCAGTTATTTATTTTTAAACACAACACCCTGCAACACACCTGAAACTCATTTTCTTCTTTTGTCTCCCCTCTCCAATTAATTTTTTAATGCAGCGTAATGAAACAGCTCTAAAAAGCTAGGGATCTTGGTAACTTAAGGACCACCTTCGCCAATATGAACCTGCCTGCTCGTGTCCATCAAAGCCCTTCTCTGCACCCCCTTTCCCTTAAAACATAGGTGAATGAGGGCACAAGACAGAGCCTTCTCAGCAAGTGGGCTCAGGATCTGGAATTTCCTGCAGCCAAAGGTTTACTCTCAGACTATATTCAAAAATATAAAAAATAGAGTAGAAGCTTCAAATAATTCCCATTGTGTGCATTGTTCTCCTTTCACTCATACCTTTGTCAGATAATGCTCACAGAAATCAAATACGTGAGTTGTGCTTAAATGGCAAGCCTCTCAGCCATCCAAAGAACAAGCAAAACTGAATAAATTGTCCCATTTATTACAAAAGGTTTTTACTACATATCATTTTAGGATTTGCAGTAATGAAACCTGACAACCCACATTTAAGTTCTTATTCATAGATCATTGTTTTCTCCATTCATCCCCACCCTGTACTCCTTATTTTGCATGCTGACCATTTAGTAGACCGGACCTCCCAGTCCCACTTTTCCCTCAGTAAGCCCCATTCATTCCCAGACTTTTAGCAAAGGGGGGAAATATTAAGAAAGGGAAAAGGGAAACTGGGGCAGGAGGGTAGGATAAGCACTCAATTGTCATCAAAACACTGAAGGAATGGTAACCATGTACCTCAATTCTGTGGGTCACTTTTGACACAAGTTTAAGGATCTGTGCAGTAAGAGATATAATTTCTCTGAGTATTTTTGGTAGCTTTCAAGAATGATACGTAAGTTTACTTTTTTATATATAAAAAAAAAACAGGACCCCATAATCCTCTAATCCTCAACACAACACAGATGCTGGTCACCATTTTATTCAGGTTATCTCCTTGTGGATCAATTTCATTCACAATATCAAATGTCTCTCTACTGCTTACCTAAGCTTGTCAATAAGTGCTTCTAAAGAATTGTTTGACTGCAACATAAGAGCAGCTCGAGAACTTAATCCTTCTGTAAGCAGCAGCACCTGTGGAAGAAGTCATATACAAAATTATTCCTAAAATCACCTCAGTTTCTCTTTCTTCTTTGTTAAAATCTTACTTTTAAAAAAAAATTGAAGTTACGCACTACGGTGACATTTGGCAAAAGAAAAATGATATTTAAATGGAAGGTGTGTGTTGACTGTACAATGGGAGAGTGGAGGAATATCTGCAACTGTGTGCCTGTGCTATCTCTGTTTTTGCCCTTGGTGATTTATGTGTCTTTTTTCACTTTGTTTCTTTGGGTTCGGCTTTTTGTGTTCAATGCTTCATATAACCTTCTGGTCTACTCTGCCCAATTCTAGATACTGAACCTTCTATGCAGGCACCCTGGTATCTATTTCGGGCTGAAATCTCCATAATGTCTGGGTCTGGGTCTAGAAACAAATCAAGTGAACTAATGAAATGTTCCATGCAAAACGATAATCGCCCAGATTACAGCACACCCCTAGCAGAGGGAAACCATGTGGACAAGGACCCAAAGATGGGTATCCTCAAATACGGGGGATTTTCCCCTACAACTGTCAATATTGGAACAGAATTGTTATGCAGGCACATACATCTCTGCCTTCTTTAATCAATTCCTATGCAACTCCACTTGAACTTCCTTAATGGTGGGTCCTGTTTACATACCCTCCTTTTAATCTCATGCCTGCACTGCATGCAAACCTTTTAAGTTCGTGCATTTGACCCAAATGCCCCTTTAAAATGTGCACTCCCCTCAATTAGAGCTTTATACTTACTTTCTAACATACATTTTAACAAGGTGTATTTTACAAAAAGTTAAGAAACTCTCAACTACTCCCTCTCTCATCCCACTACCAACCAAACCCTCAATCAAATTATTAACGTATGTTGGTAGGTCAGGGAAAAGTACATGAAGTGAAACACACACACAGCTCCAGGAAATCTGAACACCTGTTTTTGAAGGGGGGGGAAGCCCTTTTCACAGTCTCATATATATATGCTGATAACTTTCAAAAAGTACTGAGGTGAATTTTGTATACCACTTTACCTGCCTTTCTAGCTGTAGTACTTGAGCCTTCAGAAAATTAACACGTCTTTCCTCAAAGCATTCGTTCTTCCCTTCCTTTATGAGCTGCTCATATTGGCTTCTAAGAAATAAAATGTATTTCCTTATAAAGAACATCAAACAAACGCATAATTCTACATTGATATTTAATAAGTACAATTTATTGGAACAACTGGAAATGATGTTAAATGCAGAAAAGAGATTTCTTTTTGTCTCCTGCTTTTAGCCAATTATTCCAAAACCCTGTTATTTTTCTGAAAATTGCCTTCTATCTGTTTTATTGTACTACAAATAACTTATTGCCTTGAAAAGCCTTAAATGTTTCTGAAGTATCCGTTCATTTCTCACCACCTCCATGCGGGAAGCAACTCTGAATACACAAATACTAACTACTTTTGTCCTCAATACATGCTGGCAAAGAAATGAGCAGCTATATAAATCATAGATCAGGGAGATTCAAACCGATTTCTAACATTATGGGCTCACACAAGAACTGAATAACTAATTTTCCTTCTATAAATTTCTCAGTATCCTCTGCCATAATTTTGTCATCCTTAGCTTTCAATACATGACCTCACAGATAAAACAAAAGCTGTTTTCATAAATCTAGGGCTTTGTTATCAATTTCTTTCAGTACCTTAAATCTTCTAATTCATACTTTAATCTTAGATTTTCCTCTTGCAGTTTCTAAGAAGAAATAAAAAATACTATGGTTAAATATACTATTAGGATTTGTAAATAGTATTTTTAAGTTACACAAACAGTGGTTTATATTCATTTATATATAAACATTTGTCACGTATAAATAGAAACGTTTTACACCCAAAAAAATTATTTCAACTAGTATTGTAAACTAAGATTTCAAAGCTATATAAATGTAATCATGACTGCATCACAAATAACTATTATCACAAGCATGTGTTAACAGTTTATAAAGACCATTATTTCATCCCAAAGGGAAAGATTTATATAAAATAAGTTTAAACTTAATCATCAAAGTTCAACATCATGTATTCCAACTTCCCCTCATGCAACAAAAATTGCTGTCTCCTCCCTGCACCCATACAAATCTGTTCCAGAGGAAGAATGCAGGAAGAAGGGAATTCCCATTGCAGTACAGAAATCCATTCTACTTGTACACTACAGATACCATTGGATTTCATCCAATAGGAGGAAATAAAAGATGAAGGGTGAGCCACAAACTGGAGAAATATGGCATATATGGTGAAATAAAAAATAACACCATAAAGCACCATCTAAAAAGATTTGTTGAAGACCTCAGTGTTACTTTAATGTCAATGATAATACCTTATAAAGCAGATACAAATCTGGGTTCTCAGAGAACAATTCATGTATTAAGTTCTTGCAGGGAGAAGACTTGGAAAAGAAGTATAATTAACTGTTGCCCTAATCCTAATAATTTATAACATCTACACTTGGATCTCCTTCCATGCACACCAAATATCTCTGCAATCCCATAATATTATGGGTGACATCTAATCCTCAAAGCAGACCTGTTGAAATAAATAGATTTAAGTAACCATTCATTTCAATGGGTCTAATCTAAGTACTCCTAGTAGGATCTCACCCTATGTTTTAAGAACCCAGCTGAAACGCAACTCATCTGAAAATACTACTTTGCTAAAATATCAATGTTTGCTTTTTTATGCAAACAACTGTATACAAATACAACCTTTTTTTTTCCTTTTACCTTTTGCTCACTCCTGTTCATAAGAGGAGTGTGAAGTTCATTGTTCTGTTTGTCCCCTCTCAACAGTGAATTATCTTGACATGCTGAACCCTGAAACGTGAGGCTGCCTGCAGGGAGCTTGGCCATGGGCCTTCCAACCTTTAAAATAAACACAGCCACATTTTAATGGTTTAAAAAAACAAAAACTGGACTTCACAAACACAGACATCGACAAAAGTAGGCAACGTTAGACAAAACTGTGTAGGGAGCACTTTCAAGCAATTGTACTCCTAAAATTAATAAGGGTTTTCTTTAAAATGACTTGTGTCTCCATTTCTTTTTTGCTACAATTCTTGAAAAATCTGTACAGTAAACCTTAATATGCACACATCATATCAGTTTTAAAATGCAGGCTAGTTATTCTGTCTGTATGTAATAATCTTCTGCTTAGATCAGTGAAAGAATCCTGATAAACATTTATCTGAAACAATGACTGAGCCATACTTAGCTCTGTGCTGCAGCGATGAAGGATTACCAGCTACAGTGAGCAGGGCTGGATTAACCATTGTGCTAAATAATTTTACTAATGAGCCCCACCAGCATAAATGCATTACGGTTTCTTCAATATGAAGAATATTATGCTCATCCCATCCTTGCACTGAGTTCTTTTGTTAACATCATTCTACAATTTCCTAAGCAGACAAGCCGTAGCCACATCCACGGTGATAGGAAAACTGAGAATAATGAGAATAATCTCTTCTAACAAGATCAGAAAAAAGGAGTGAGAAAGCCTATGGATGTGCATTCATCTATTACAGATTGACAAAGTATCATTTAATTCTCCTTTTATGTCCCTAAAGTAGTGGTTTTGAAACTGGATCCCTCAAAAACATAGAAGGCTCCTCAATCAGAAGATGGATAATTGCTTTTTTTATTTTAAGGTATTCCTAGGATGCTTTTCTGGAGGATGCCCTTCCAAAATGGTTTGAAATTGTAATAAACAACATGAAGGAAAAAGTGACACAGCAAAAGAAAAAAAGAAAGCACCCAATTACCAGAGAAAATCAGAAAAGCCAATAAAACATAATTAGAAAATAGCCACAATCAATTATTATTACCTACAAACAGAAAAAGATTACAAACAATTAACCATGATTCATTGAAGGCCTGTTGGAAAATACAGTACAGGTCTTTAAGCTTTCCAGAATCCCTGAAAAATGAAAGCTAGTTGCAGGTCTGATACAAGGAAGTTCTTAAGCCATGGGGCCACCTCGGAAAAAGCCCTCTTCCTTGTGGCCACCAGCCTCACTGGCCTAGGGGATGGACACACCAGGAGGGGGTCCCAATGCAGATCTCAGCATGCAAACAGGATGGTAAACATGCAGGAAGTCCAACAAACAGCTTGAACCCAATGTTTAGGGCCTTAAATGTTACTCTAAACTGGCTGTGGAAATGAACCAGAAACCATTGGAGCCGATACAACAGGGCTGTGGCAGATGTACTCTGGACCAGCTGAAGTTTCCAACCTAGCTTTAAAGGTAGCCCCACATACAGTGCATTACAGTAGTCTAATCAGGACGTGACTAGAGCACGGAGCACTGGGGCTATGGCACATCTCTCTGGACCTGCTGTAGAGCATTTCTCTAAAGTCATTTACCTATTATCTACATGGCTAGGTTCAAGATGCTGGTCTTGGTGTATAAAGGCCTATACAGCTTGGGACCAGGACACCTCAAAGACTGTCTCACCCCTATATATCACTGCACTCTGCAGGTAAACGGCCTCATGCTCCACACAATATAGGAATCAGGCCTTTAGCATCTATCTGTTGGAATCTCCTCCCCTTAAATACTAGACAAGTGTTATTGGTTATCTTTTTGGTGCCTACTAAAGCCCTTTTTCTTCCAACACAACTTTTAAGTTGATAGTCCCCCATCTGTATTGGTATTGTTTTTAAGAAGCTTTTGTTGTTTTATTATTGCTTGTTGTTTGCCACCCTGAGCTCCTTGTTGGATATAAACTTATTTATTTTATTTATTTATTTATGTTTGTTTGTTTGTTTGTTTGTTTGCTTGTTTATTTGATTTCTATACCGCCCTTCACCGTAAGATCTCAAGACGGTTCACAGAATAAAATACAGGATAAAAACAAGTTATTTAAACAAATTCAACAAACTTTATTTGCAATATTCATATCCCACCTTTCTGAATGGCAATTAGTCTTCAAGACGAAGAACAATAAATGAAAACTGATACATAACAATACAATAATAAATGTCTATTAAAAAGCAGTAGCAATTTATAAAGGCTCATGGGGAGAGCAGGGGAGAGCTTGGAATAAAGCATCTGAGATCTTAAGCTGCTTGTATGACTGTTTTAGCTGCTGGTCTTCAAAGTTGGTACCAGCTGTTTCAGTCTCTGAGAGAACAGTCATCTCCTTATACAGGCAGCTACAGAGTCTGAAGCTCCTGGCTCTTCCTAGTTACAGGGAGGTTAAAGGGAGGGATGAAAGTGTTTACTTCTCAGGGCAAAATAATCAGGAAAGACTCAAATCTTCACTAGCAAGTTAACCAGCTTAGGGAGATTTAATTTGAATTTTGAGAACTGGAGTCTGAGGAACAGTTATTATCCGTGTAAAGAAAGGACAAAGCATTCAGTATTGTTCAGATGCTGACACGCTTTAGCAAGTAGCACAAACCAATCTGACATTGGCACAGTGATCTAAGACATGGAGAATTTAAAGGAGATCAGGAAAACAGAAGATTACAAACTTGAATACAGAAAATAATTCAGATTGCCTAGTGACATGCCCTGCAAGAATCTTGATCAACTGTTGCATTTTATTTTATTTCGCTCGTTATGAGAATGCCTCCATTTTATAAGGGCGCATATTCATTTCCATAAGCTATGTAGGTAGTTTTTCACTGAGGTCTGCATCTATTGTACACTTATGGTAGTGAACACAAATGCCATTGATCCCAGTAGGAAGGCTTGCAGGCATGACACATTCAGTGTCAAACGAAGGTCTCTAATTAGTGAATAGTTCCGGTCTGACAGAAAAGGCCTTAACCTTCCACAGGGAATAATGAGCTAGGCAATGTCTGAAGCACCCAAATAAGCTTCTGTGAACAAGAATGGCACTGAGAACTGCTTTAAATGTGCTAAAATGACAGACATCAGTGACCGAACAGTGAACCGTACACTTGGCAATGAACAGGAAAATGCCTGCTATAGGAAAGGGTGCTGGTCTTTGTTTTTTCTCTTGTGCATCTGAACTCGGGACTAAATCTGATAGACCACATTATTTGGTAGACTTATTTAAAACAAAACTAGGAAATTTGTGGAATACAGATAATTGTCTGAAATCTTTGTCCTTTTAACAGTATTTATAATATGAAAGCATGTGGCAACTTCCCTGAACATCATAACAAACTCAGTTTTTAAAGAACATTTATAAAAAGCTCATTAGCAAAGACAAGACTTTAATAGAAGGGTAGCACCAGAAACAGTTTGAATGGCAAGTTATTAACATTGTGACTAAACAAGAGGTAGAAGCTTGAACATGATTCTAACTGTCCAATATGTCGTTAGTCAAATACTGTATATCAAAACATTTAAGAATCTCCACACATATTATTAAGAGCTGAACAACATGTGGAAGGAAGAAAAACATTTAATAAGGAATAAAGCATTCTACCTGCCACAATGCTTTGTGTCGTATAAGTACAATTCAAAGAAAGATACCCTTTGGTGGCGCAGTGGGTCTGCACGTCCAGATGTTAATCAGAAGGTTGGTGATTCAAGCCCACCCACGGACAGCTGTGGGCAGGATTCCTGCATTGCAGGGGTTGGACTAGATGACTCTCAGGATCCCTTCCAACTCTACAACTCTACGAGGTACCATACGCCAACACTATCCAAACCTGCAAAGTATGGTCCGACATTCAGGGTGTGTTCTAATTGGCTTCAGATTGTGGTTTGGCCAGAGTGAAATAAATGATGCTCTCGATTTCAAATGCAAAGGTAAGCCAAGGATGATGGTCTGATGCTCCCACTCACTAGCAGAGAGAAGTGAAGGGAGAGCAACATGTGCATTCAAGGTAAGCTAGCAACCTTCACTTACCATGACATGTGACTGCAGCCAAAACCAGTTCACTTTGGATGTCAAAGAGAGGCGGCCTCAGAACCAGGCCTACCACTGCTGGCATAAAGAAAAGGAGAACATGTTGTCTCTGCAGTCAACACAATAACAGAAAATTGCAGCGGCAACATAATTCATCAGCAGTTTCCCTCTCCTGCTGTCCAGCTGTGAAATGTGATTGTACCTATCTCAGTTTTTTTATTATCCTTAAATGGAGCTGGCAGTAGCTAAGGCGGGTTGCATTCCAAAACATCTAGAGGGCACCATCTTGGCAAAGGCTGTTCTGGCAATACACAAGTAACTGTGGTTCCTAATCACAAAGCCCTTACTGCTAAGCAGAAATTATTTTATTATAGGACCTTAAAACACAGAGGGTCAAATAATGCAATACTCACTTTTTGCTTTGTTGAAACCATAAGGAAAAGTTACATGAATACAGAAATTTGTGTATAATATACTGTATCACATCAAGAATAATCTGCATGATTTCTCACACATAGGTTTAATCTGTGCTGTTTCTTGCCCTGTCATGTTCACATCCAGGTGAAGCCAGTGGCACACCCAGCAATAGGACCAGGACAAGTGGCATGGCCCCAATCCCGGGTAACTGAGTTAAGGGGGCTTAGAGGGCACCATCTTTATGATGGTGTCTGAACAAGGATAAACCAACCATTTTTTGAAGCAACACACTTTCAGACCTGGGGTCACTAATAAATTCTAGCTTCTCATTCCAGGTTTTGCTTTGTTTTTTGAAAGCAGCATAGCATTACAGCATTTCGTATCTTTCAGTCATTAACACTGCATTTAATATATTTTCTCTATCTGCATACAGAAGTCAGACAGGATTTCTTAGGTTATGCTTTTCGAATCCTTCAGTAGAATCTTCAAGAGTGAAGTGCTGCCCTCTAGAGGAATATTTTGCAAGGGAAAATTGTGTAACCTTCTCAGCTCCTTTCTTTTTACTGTAACAGGGAACTCCAAAATACTTTACTGTACAGTATTTATTATTTATTTTTAAATATACTTCTTAATATAATAACATTTCTGAGCAGTTTAAGATAAAAGTGTAACAACAAAAACACAAACACCATTCAATATGTTTTATGTTTTACTGTGGTTTTATAATTTGATGGAAGCCACCCAGAGTGGCTGGGGAAAGCTAGTCAGATAGGTGTGGTCCAAAAATTAATTAGTAGTAGTAGTAACCTAAGAATCTTATCCATTTCTCCACAGAAGCAGAAGATTGGTTTGACAGATTTAATAATCATTTATATATTTGCCCCATAAGACCTCGAGATTCTATCACTTATCATCAATTCAAAGAGCTTTTAGAACTTAATTTGCCATAATTTCCAGTCAATGAAAAAAGCATATGCCCAGATTATAAATACTGGAATACTGGCCATCAAGTCACCTCTTCAAAAATATATCAAAAGGTATCCAATACTTTGTATCACTAATGGAAGAAATCCACAGTAGAGAAGGGAGAGAGGCAGTTTACAGTAATTTTTCTAGACATGAATTCAGCATACTTTTGATCATGGTTCAGGAAATTTTCCTACTACAATTTTTGCCATCTGGTATCACATTAGTTGGCTAAGGGTATTCTGACGTTGACAAACCATCTGACTTTGATAACGCAATATATTTCCTGTACAAATAAGGTATACCGCATATTGTGCACTGGAGAAGTTACACAAAAGTTAATTACCACTTCACCTATGAAATGAGTTTTAAGCCACTCACACAGAGACTGCAGATGCTCAGCACCTTAGAATTTATTTATTTTTAAAGTCTCATGTGAGGAAAAGCAGGACAGCAGCCCTCTGGCAGTGATTGTGCCACAGGTTCAAGGCCTTCTGGCAGGCTACATGAGACATCAACACAGAAATGTTATTCAGTGGCCTGAATCCAAGATGTTTAAATGTGCCCTTACTGGCTGAACTGTGGATATATCTGTTCACGGTACTTTAGTAAAATAAATTCATTACCTTGCATATTTAGATTTTTATTGACAGCTGTACACTAATGATTGAAATGCTTATTCTCAGTAAGCTAAATGAAAAGATAACTATACTATGAATAAAATTTGCCTAGGTTCACAGAACCAGATTGTCAAAACACTCAAGTTTTAGTGTGATTAAATATCAAGCTGACTAAATATTTCTAAACCTGTAGAAACTGATTTATATCAGTTATGGATGCCACTTTCAATAACAAGGTTATAAATCATCTTTGGTGCTCATGCCAAGTTTTGCAGCTTACATAAGTCTAGGCTACAGTCCTTGGCATCTGTATCCATTCAACTCATAAAAAATGCTACTGTTCCACTGCAGCCTAGCAACTTGCTATACTTACTAAATAGTAAGAATTTATAAGAAGATGCAAAGCTGTAAGTCAACAGAAGCCTGATTATGGAACAATTAATCTATCTTGTCTTCTCTGGACTAATTCTCATATACATTTAATACTAACTATGCATTTTAAATATGAACGTGTTTTTCTCTGCATTTCATGGGTAGACCAGAAAGTAGTTCCTGGCCCAACCTGTGTAAAAACTGATACCTAATTTGTTAACAAAGAACTGTCATTCTAGTGTAGACCAGCGGTGCCTCAAGCTCAGTCTTCTCAGCCATCCAAATCACAGGAATATCATAAGAATTGTAGAGTTGAAGAGGTCCTGAGGATCATCTACTCCAGCCCCCTGCACTGCAGAAATACGCAACTATCCCTTACGGGGATCGAATGTGCAACCTTGGTGTTATTAGCACCATGCGCCAATCAATAAACATAAAAAATGAGTCTACTGAATCAAACCAATGGCTCACCTTGTCCAGCATCCTGTTCACACAGTGGCCAACCAGATGCCTGTGTGAAGCCTGGAAGCTGGACGTGAACACAACAGCATTCTGCCCCGTTTACAATTTCCAGCAACTGGTATTTAGAGGCAGAATGGCAGTGGAGGTAGAACATAGCCATCGTAGCTAGTAGGTTGTCCTCCATGAATTAGTGTAATCCTCTTTTACAGCCATCAAAGTTTGTGGTCATTACTGCCTCCTGCGTGAGTTCCATAGTTTAACTACAGAGGCAACTCCTGATTTAGGCGTGTCTGAATGATGCGCAACTACACCGAACCCAGAAGTAGCCCCAAAACATCAAAGATGTCATGAAAAGGAATGGAACAGGGCAGAGCAGGCATACATGCTCTGTTGACATACACGGGGCTCCAAAATAGAACCCCCGTGAAAAACAAGGATTGTCTTACACTGTATGAAGAAGTACTTTACAGTGATATCTATGTTTACGAACTTCATCTGTTTCGGAGGTCAGTTCTTAAACCGAGGCGTGCGCTTTCCTTACTGAGGCCTCCCGCCACCAGTGTTCCGCTTCTGCTCATCTTCCGGGGCAAAATTAGCTAACCGGAATGCCTACTTCCAGTTTTGTGAAGTTTGTTGTCAGAATCATTCATTGTACGTAGACCAAGGTACCACTGTATTTTATCTCCATCTCCTTGAGCATTTTGCTTGCCCTTTTCTGAACCTTTCCCGATATCTACAATATTGAGGTGTGGTAACCAGAATTGTACATATTATTTCAAATGTGGTCACAGCATAGATTTGTATAGTCACGTTATGATACTGTCAGTTTTATTTTCATTTTTGTTTTTACAAGAATAGAAAACAGTATGGTAAAGTGTATCTTGTCTGTTATCGGAATCATGCCATTCTTTTAAATAGCTTCCAAAGTGTGTTTCAATGTTATATTTTTTCTGAATTAAGGTTATGTACACAATTTGTGTTACTGCCCGACACCTGCAAGTTATATACACAAAGCTATTTTGAGGATTTTATTAAATAACAAGGCAGAAGTAGTTCTCATTTCAATGCTAGAAAATACAAAAAAATTGGCTCAATGTATCAGACAGCTGGGCCAGAAAAAACAGCTCTAAGTTGACCTACTGTAGCACCAGAAAAAATGCATTTACACTGTGCCCAAAACCACTGAATTGATCAAACTACTTTCTATATTTCACCAATCAAATAGAAACTGCATTGCCAAATATACCTTCAACAGGATTTTAAAATAGGAATATGAATGCAAGCCTCAGTTTTTTATTAATGCATTTTATTTCTCATTTTTTATTAAAAGAGCTTTATCCCACTCTTCAATATTTCTCTTTCCAAAGTGAGTGGCTAGAATGCTGGACTTCAGCCACAAAGCTCACTGGATGAGCCTGAACCAACCAAGCCATATTATCCTAACCTAGGACAATGATGCAACTAGAATTGTAACGCAGCCTCACCATAGATTTGGTGCGGCTGCATTTGGAATGGTATGTACAATCTAGTAACATCACCTCAGAAAGTATAACGTGAAGTTGGAAAAGGTTCAGAAAACGGCAACCAAAACAACCCAGATTCTATCTCCTGCATCTCCAGGTAAAACTGGGAAAGACAAGGGCATCCTGATCAAATTTGCAGATGACACCAAACTGGGAGGGGTGGCTAACACCCCAGAGGACAGAATCACACTTCAAAACGACCTTGACAGATTAGAGAACTGGGCCAAAACAAACAAGATGAATTTTAACAGGGAGAAATGTAAAGTATTGCACTTGGGCAAAAAAATGAGAGGCACAAATACAAGATGGGGACACCTGGCTTGAGAGCAGTACATGTGAAAAGGATCTAGGAGTCTTGGTTGACCACAAACTTGACATGAGCCAACAGTGTGACGCGGCAGCTAAAAAAGCCAATGCAATTCTGGGCTGCATCAATAGGAGTATAGCATCTAGATCAAGGGAAGTAATAGTGCCACTGTATTCTGCTCTGGTCAGACCTCACCTGGAGTACTGTGTCCAGTTCTGGGCACCACAGTTCAAGAAGGACACTGACAAACTGGAACGTGTCCAGAGGAGGGCAACCAAAATGGTCAAAGGCCTGGAAACGATGCCTTATGAGGAACGGCTAAGGGAGCTGGGCATGTTTAGCCTGGAGAAGAGGAGGTTAAGGGGTGATATGATAGCCATGTTCAAATATATAAAAGGATGTCACATAGAGGAGGGAGAAAGGTTATTTTCTGCTGCTCCAGAGAAGCGGACACGGAGCAATGGATCCAAACTACAAGAAAGAAGATTCCACCTAAACATTAGGAAGAACTTCCTGACAGTAAGAGCTGTTCGACTCCTGCCTGAAACCCTGCCAAGCTAGAAGAACAATGGTCTGAGTCAGTATAAGGCTGCTATGTTCTTAAAAGTGTGTGCTCTACCACTGAACGATGGTCCTTGAGAAGCAACACTAAGCAGTTTTAGTATTGCCCGTGGAACCACAAACCTGCTTCTCCTTTCCAATTTTTGTGACCAAAAAGCAGGAGTATCAACTGAGAAATACGGGCATCAAGATACACAGTTCAAACAGAATGCAGACTAGTGCAAACCTTGCATTGCTGGTGTGACAGAAGCAACTTTGAACAGCAGCCACATTCTCTGGGGACCAAATCCTACATAATCTACCTTCTGCTATTTGATAATCTTCTCCTACGTAGCACAAAAGCACTCAGGATGCACAACCCCAGGCCACTGGGTCTGTTCTCTGGAAGGAACTATATCTGTGCCAAGCAAACCGGTTGAAGTTGAAACCCTCTTTTTGTTTTGTTTTTAGCTTGAATGAAGCACTCCTATCATTTGCACTTGCTGCCCTATTTTCAACTTACTAGTTAGTAAGCCCCATTGAACTTAAAAGGACTTATTTCTGGCACAGCAAGTTTAACTCTGCACTGGAAGCCAGCAGGGAGTATCTAGGAATTAAAAGTGAGTTAACTTTCTAAATTGGGTTTTCATTTTTATTCTAATGAAAATATTATATGAATACACACACCATTATATAGCCTACAGCAGGTTCCAGAACAACTCAGATTTATTTGTCATGTTCGTTTGGCTCACCTCTTAGCCTTGTTGCTTAACAATGAACAACAGCCATAATTTGAGTGTGTGCTGGGTGCTACATGTCATTTGCGGGGGAGGGTGTACCTTTTTCATTTTAAAAAAAAGATTTCGTTACTGAAATTTTCTCAAACAATACATAACAAACAAACATACATAGCAAATCTTGACTTTGAACTTTGTTTGGGGGAAGGGGAAGCAACCAGAGGACACAAAGATGCAAAGATCACCATATAGAAGACAAAAGGAGGTAATTTATAATTTTTTAAGCTAAAGGGAGCCTCCCTTCCTATTGAGTTTAGCACTCCATCCATACCTGACTTGCTTCAGAAATTCAAGAAAACCCGCCAGAGAGAATGCTTCTCTTCACATGCTGCTGCCTCTGTTTGGCACCACAGAGCTGAGGGGAGCCACCCCCTGATCTCTGCCATTGGCCAGGAAACCTAGGGCCCCATGGAGGCTGCATTCACTGTCGGGGGGAAAGGTCGGGGTATAAATAGAGAGATAATAATGATGCCAATTCCCTGCATCTGAGGAAGCACCTGACAGAAAGAAGGGAGTCCTATGTAACCCTTGTTGCCAGTGAAGGTGCAGCTTGCTTTCCTTTTCCCTTTCCATTCATTTTCCTTTTTATATCGTGCTTATTAGATTGTGAGCCCATGCGCAGGGGCTGGACTGCCTCTTGACACGTGTCCATCGTTCAGACGAGCGGGCCGCCTGAAGGATGGCGGGTAACGTCACAGCTTTTGTGTCACTGAAAGCGACGCCGCCGCCTGCTCCACCGACTCCTGGCAAGAAGCAAAACACTCTCCCACGAACGCTACCTTGGCCGCGGCCCGAGGCAAAGGGACGGGGCGCTCGCCGCGCGAATCCATGGCTCTCTCAACGAAAGAGGCCACCGCCAACAAGCCCTCTCCTCAGCCCGTTCCTCCCGCGCGACGCGTTTCCTAGGCAGCGGGTCCTGCCAGGTACATACAAGCATTCACGGCGTATTTAAAGGGGGGACAGAACTCGGGAAGTTTGAGGTGCCCGCGTACTTATATTGCAGAACTTCGAATTATAAACGTGCCGTACAGTGGTAACAATGCGGGGAAAGAATTAGCGTCTATATAGCGTCTACATAGCTGCAAGGACCTGAGAGAGAGAGAGAGAGAGAGAGAGAGAGAGAGAGAGAGAGAGAGAGAGAGAGACCACGCCCACATCGAAGAACTTAACTCCGCCCTGATGGCAGGAGGCGGTTTGCGCGCGTATTTCTACGCATGCGCAACAGCCGACGGAGACTGCGTGTGTGCGTAAGCGGAACAGCGAGGAGAAAAGCTACGGGCCGACTCACATGCGGGTTGGGTCCAGAGCGTGGCTGGGACATTTCATTCAAGAGGGGGTGCTTAGGTGGACGAAACCATGGGGAAGCTGAACGTCGTTTTGCTTCGCTATCTTTCTCGAGAACACTTCAGAGTACTAACTGCGGTAAGGATCACTTGGCGATCGGTTCCAAGGAGTCATAAGAGAGGCCTGGACCAGGGCTTGGTCCCTGGTGGCCAAAAACAGGTTGAGGCCGGGTCTGGGTGGTAGAGATCTGGGAAATCATGGCTTCCGCGGGTGTCTTTGCAAACCTCATGTGCGCTTCTGAAAGCACGCAAATTGACATTAACATTCAACATGGGTAAGTTTATCCATCAAGCAACAAAGATAAGGAAATGTTATGTAAATTAAAAAAAATACAATTAATTATCTTGCTGAATATTATGCTTTAACTTTAGTTTTTCATCCAAGTGGTTTCCTCTCTTCTTCCAATACCTTGTGCAAGCCCACTTTATTATTTTGTTTTCTGTGGTCTTTCTACAGAATTGCTCCCACTTGAATCTGCCTGAATCTTAAAATCATCCTATGAGACCCTTCTCTGCACCTAATTGAAGAAAGACATGGGGTGGCCTTTAGATGCCAAACTTTTCAGAACTGCATATATGTCTTCATGTTTGAAAAATCCATATTAACACCTGTTCTGTGAGGGCATGAGCCAGTATTTAAAAGTATTAAATGCAAGCACCAGAAAGGAGGCTGTATATTCAAAAACAGGAGGCGTGATGTAGGAAACTATGCTTATCAAAATAAAGAGTATTTATCAGGCTATGTTTTGCTGTTACAGGTGGAAATGGGCATGAAGAACCATGAAATAGTCCCTGCCAGCTTGATTGCCTCCATTGCTAGTCTCAAACATGGGGGATGTAACAAAATTTTGAGAGAATTAGCAAAGCACAGGCTCTTGGCTTATGAACGAACTAAAAGTGAGTATAAATGGGGTTCCTGCCCACAGTTGTTTCAGTGGATTTTTTATGAATGCCGCCATTGGTTGATAGCCAACACTGAACAAGTGAAATTCCCCTTCCTGTCATCCCACTGTGCCCCCTCGTAAACATACGGTAAATAGTTATCCAACACTCCCAAGCACATGTAGTGGGAAGGAGAGGAAGGAGAGATCCCATTGCATGGGCAGAAATTGTTCTACCTGCAGACAGGAACCACTGGGTATCACCTGTTGAAAACTAGAGGAAACCAGCAATATTTGGTTGCCAGCCGAGGTGCCTTAAATAAGTTGTTTCAACTCATACCCACATTTAATTACATGTTGTTGCTCTGAATATAGAATTCCTCTTGCCTGAACAATATGGATCACAGGGATTGTTGGGGGAAAAGTTCTCTTTGGAGAGCCAGTGTGGTGTAGTGGTTAAGAACGGTAGACCCGTAATCTGGGGAACCGGGTTCGTGTCTCCGCTCCTCCACATGCAGCTGCTGGGTGACCTTGGGCTAGTCACACTTCTCTGAAGTCTCTCAGCCTCACTCACCTCGCAGAGTGTTTGTTGTGGGGGAGGAAGGGAAAGGAGACTCCTTCGGGTAGTGATAAAGCGGGATATCAAATCCAAACTCTTCTTCTCTTTGGAGGACTGCTGACTTTGCTTAAGTATTTTTGGTGTTTTAAAAGGACACACTGCATAATCATGATAAGCACAGTGTGATGTGATGCACTTATTTTACTTCTACAGCTGTCCAAGGTTATCGATTAACTAATGGAGGATATGATTACTTAGCCTTGAAAACTCTTTCTTCTCGACAAGTTATCTGTTCTGTTGGAAACCAGATGGGCGTTGGAAAAGAATCAGGTATTTTCAAGCTTCGGATTGGGGGACAGAGTCATGAAATGTAGCAGATATATCAAAAAAAGTAGGCACGTACCAAAGTGTAAATTTTGAATGTGTTAAAAGCTATTTTTTTTACCATGCTTCTAATTGGACTGAATCTTTGTTTTAAAGATATTTATATTGTTGCAAATGAAGAAGAGCAGCAACTAGCACTGAAGCTGCATAGACTTGGGAGGACATCCTTTCGGAACTTAAAAAACAAGCGTGATTACCACAAGCACAGAAACAAGATGTCCTGGCTATACCTTTCGCGTCTTGCTGCAATGAAGGAATTTGCCTACATGAAGGTACTGTTGGTTGTTTTCCCCCTAGTTTTCCTAAATCTGGGCCCATCGTAACTAGGCTTCAGCCAGAAGTTACAGAAAGGTCTACACCGGTTTCCTCTAACTTTATTCTCACCTGTCAAGATGATGGGCACGACCCATTTTTAACTGATTACTACTTCCACATGTCCCCATCCAATTTCTAAGATTATCCATGGGCTCTTTTTAACGCCTGTACCATCTCTGAAGCAGTGTTAGCCCAGTGGCAACTCAATATGTGTTGGCCGTGAAAAAGGTGAATTCTGTAATAAGGGTTACCAGAAAAAGCCGTGAAAATTAAAACTGGCACCATTCTTCATTGTCTGTACATAAGTCTATATTGCAACTACAATTGGGGATCCTGTGCCTAGTTCTGATAATCTCCACATCATGTCTGAGCAGGTATTTTGAACCTAGATCTTCTCAATCCTAGTCTGTTTAGGTGGTTTTAAAGCGGGTAGACATGGAAGATAAAGCTGTCAGTGACTATTAGCCATATAGCTAAGTGGAACCTCCATGTTTTAAGTGGAACATTCTGAAGGGATAAGAGAAAGGGAGAGTTGTTGCCTTCATGGTCTGCTTGTGATTCTTCAAAGCATTTGCTCAGTCACTTTGAGAAACTGAATACTGTGGTACCTCGGGTTAAGTACTTAATTCGTTCCGGAGGTCCGTTCTTAACCTGAAACTGTTCTTAACCTGAAGCACCACTTTAGCTAATGGGGCCTCCTGCTGCCGCCACGCCACCGGAGCATGATTTCTGTTCTCATCCTGAAGCAAAGTTCTTAACCTGAGGTACTATTTCTGGGTTAGCGGAGTCTGTAACCTGAAACGTCTGTAACCTGAAGCATCTGTAACCCGAGGTACCACTGTACTGAACTTTAGTCAGATCCTGCAGGCCTCTTATGTCCATATCACATTCTTACAATATGATGGATTTTATTTTTTATTGTTATCTGGTGTGCGTTTCTCTTATATGAAGCTTATTTCATTTGTGCCATAAACTAGTACTCAGCATTAAAACTCCAAGTGAGTACATTAACACACTGGAATATTAATATGTACTTAACTCAAATAGAAGGACATGCACTGATTTTTAAAAATACCTTTTTTTCCTTCTTTTGGCCAGGCTTTGCATGATAGAAAATTTCCTGTTCCAAAACCATATGACTACAATAGACACGCAGTCGTAATGGAACTTGTCAATGGTTACCCTTTGTAAGTATGAAGGTATTTTCTCAGGGGTGCTTCTGTTCAATATGATTTATAGTTTGCTAGTAGTAGATGTTTGGACAAAGCAGCAGCAGTGTAATAGTAACTTTCTTAGGTATCAAAGTTAAGAAAACCCCTGTAGGAAAGACCTTAGACATCACTGCAGACTGGGATTAACAGTACTGTAATGGGTTTTCGTTAAAAGCCATTGGTCTGACTTTGTACATGACAGGGCCTTATTTATATTTTTGATAACTGGGAAGCAAGCTGTACCTGTATATTTCCCTTGACTTCCATTTCTTAAATAATGAAACTAAGAATTACCAAAATCTAAACAGTGTTGAAATTGCTGATTACTTGGAAATATTCACTAGAGCCCTACATTTCATACTAAAGCATGCAGAAGAGACAGTTCCTTAAGAAAGCATGTAATTATTTCCATAAACCCTGGATGATTAAGGAAAGCAGAAAAGATTGGTTTAAAGGGGTCTTCTAGGCGAACTCTTTTGGCCATATAAAGCAACGTGTTAGAAGTAATTTCCTTTTTAAAATAAATGGAGCTCTTTCCCCGTTGAGCAAAATAATATCAAAGAAATTCTGACTGCAGCATGGTATTACTTTTTTCTTCTCCCTCTCTCTCCACATCTCCCCTCCAACCCCAGGCTGGGTATTTTAAAAAACAGGTCTTCCAACACATCTGTCAGTAACATCAATATAATTCTTTGTAATGGTAGATCATTCCTTCAAATTGATTGATTAATTGGAATGTCTAAAACTTTAAATAAACCTCTGCCCATAGCCTTGCAATCTACAAAAATGGATGTGGTTGGTATGTCTGTTCTACACATTTAGATGTTGGCACAGCAAGTCAGAAATGTACGGTTGTAAGAACACAGAAGCGCCCTGCTCAAAGGCCCACCTAGTCGATCATCCTGTTCTTACACTGACCAGTCAGGTGCCTATGAAATGTTTCCGCTAGCTATCTTATTTTTTTTGGAATTTTATTGCATAGTGCATATTTTTATAATAACTAGTATTATTACTGAGACAATAAATTATAATACCACTGGTTTTAAATTGTCTTTTGGATTATTATTTTTTAAACAATACAAATCACTAAAGTTTGCCCACTAATGTGCTGACTGCGTGTATTTGCACAGCGAAAGGCATTTGTGTCCAATCTGACCTTCATTTGTCTTCCTGGATCAAAACTAAATTGGCTGCAGCTGGAAAACAAGGTCACGTTATAAATGTGATATGGTAAGGCATCTGAAATGAGCTGCCTAATCAAAAACGAATCTATTTCAAAACTTGAATTAATTAAACATGAATTAAAAAAAAGAACATTCCTTTTGAAGTGTTCAGCAGTTCTTGTACTAAATTTTAAAAGATTGTATAGGAAAGGTAATGCAAAATAGACAAAGGATGACTTGATAGCATAAAAGGAGACTTTTGTTACCTGTGAGCCATGATCATCCAAAGTCATCAGCTGAAGAAACTGCTTTGTTAGGTGAAAATCTAGGGTTGGATCCTGACTTGTTTTTGATGGAACTCCACAAACTGGAGGGGGACATTTTTCAATTCCCTCTGCGGTCCCCTTGTCCCCTGCCCCAAATCTGTTTCAGAGGGCTGGGGACCTTCCTGAATAGTACATGGCACAGGGGCTGCAGAAAGAAACAGGATAACTAAAAATGGTCTCTCCTCTCTTCTCTCCTTTGTCAATGGGAACGAAAGCTTCCACTGGATTGGAGCAAATGGAAGGAGCCCCTCTCTACAGAGGAAGATGTCTATGAGTCCAACCCATAATTGTTGACTTTACCAAACTTTTTATTCTCGGAGGCCAATCAGTAATTACGTTACTGTGGAGTCAGCTCCTCCCACCCCCAACAGAGATGTGATTAAGGTCAATACGTGTAAAACAGAATGAGCACAGGAGATGCATCTTTAACACATATTGTGTGATGTAGTGAGAAGGAAGGTGTGGGGAACTCTCTTTTCACAACTGCCGCCTTTGGTGCAGCCCATGCTGCACACTTGTGCCTTAAGGTGTGTTTGTGTTACTCATTCTCTGAGAGTTTCAAACATGCCTTATTTCCAGCAAAGGAGTGTGCCGGGAAAATGTGAGAAATGTTTACAAGTAGCTTGTGTCATTGCTGAGAAGTGATGGTGCATGATAATTAATCCATGTGATGACCACACATTTTTCAGGCATGCTGTGTAAATCAGTGAAATCAACAAATAATACCCCCATGTAACCCTAATACACCTCTTCTACATAAAAGTGCAATTTTGTGGGGCCTTTCATCTAGCTTTCCAGATGGCCAGCTACTGAGTAGGTTTTGTGAGTGAATTTTCAGCCGAATTAGATTTGATCTCTCTTATGCAAATTCAGTGGACTACCCAATGTATCACATTGGCATAATATTATTGGTTTTTCCCTCCTAGTTGAGGCATCCATTTGATCATACCCATAATATTCTGGTGGCTTTGTTTTATCACGTAGATGTCAAGTCCATCATCTCGAAGACCCTGCCTCTCTGTATAGCGAGCTAATGGAATTAATCGTGAAACTTGCCAACCATGGATTGATCCATGGTGATTTCAGTGAGTTCAATCTCATGTTGGATAGTGAAGATCGAGTCACAATGATTGATTTCCCGCAGATGGTGTCAACATCTCACCCAAATGCTGAATGGTATGTGATGAGCAGCCTCTGTGTATTATCAAGGTGTGGCCATTTGATGACATTGAGCAGGTTTGTGGGGTCCTGGTAAGCCTGGCTTAGCATGTCGTGCAAACCAGACTGTTGACTGGAGAAGATGTTTTACGAATTCCAGAACAGAGCTCAAAAACGTGAAAAGTGGAATTGATGCTTGAGTAATGAAGAACCTATGGTAGTGGGGTGTTTGTAAATTGAACGCACCTTTTTAAAGTAACCTGTGAAACTTCTTTTGTTCAGGTACTTTGACAGAGATGTGAAATGCATTCGTGACTTCTTTATGAAACGTTTCAGCTATGAAAGTGAACTCTATCCAACTTTCAAGGACGTAAGGTAAGTTTGTGGGCATGTTTAGAAACCAAGAGTTGTTTCTCACCTCAAATTCTACCTCTACACCTGTGTTTCCCAAACTTGGGTATCCAACTGCTTTCGGACTACAATTCCCATCATCCCTGACCACTGACGGCAGTTGTAGTCCCAATACAACTGGAGACCCAAGTTTGGGAAACGCTGCTCTTCACAATGCATTCAGATTGTTCCCAGAGAGGCATTTGTCCTCATGGAAGTTAAGCCTGAACCGAGGCTCCGTGGATAGAAACACAAGTTTACAGCCATGATTTCTGCAACTATCACAGTAACATGCATTAACTATTTCTATTTGAGGGCCTGAGTCACGCATTACAATTCTCATCCGAACGTGTCTCTGGAGAAAGTAGAAGTAAAGTCACTTTAGTGCCAGATACAGATCAGATAAACTATTGGTTTATGCATCTGTCTTATGCTAAATATATATGTCATTTTCTGATTCTCTCTTAAGCTGTATGGCAGAGAGGCAATTGTTTTGCATCATGTGCTGTTTGATAATCGTGAAAGGATGGATGCGTTTCAATCCACTGAACTACCATCTTTTTTCATATTTATTCTTCAATATCTTATTCTTCAATAAAGACTCTCTTCTAGATCTGGAGGATGTCTTCCACTGTTCCTCGTTCCAGTCATGATTTAATCCCTTTCAGTATCTGATCCTCCTCTTCCCTCCTTTTAAAAAAAGAGCTGAATTTATTTGCAACAGACAGCTAATCTTTTTATTGGATTACAGCTGCTTCAGAATCGCACCTTGGGATTCCAGTTCTTCTACAGGGGCGGGGGGGGGCATTTTTTTGTCGAAGTATATCACATCAGGATGTGCTTCAGTGTATGGGTATAAAATGACAAGTCCAGCATTACTTTGATAACTTTGTTCTAAAAGTGTACTTGCATTAAATGGAGACTCAGTTCATGCTTGACTTTTCTCTTTTCCCGCATTGCCAGGAGGGCATGTTCTCTTGATGTCGAAATTGCAGCCAGCGGTTACACCAAAGAAATGCAGGAAGATGATGAGCTTCTTCACCCAGCCGGCCCTCATGATGAGGGCAATGAAACTGCGTGTTCTCCCGGTGTGCAAGGTTCTGAAGGGGGAGAAACACTATGTAGTGGCACAGATCAAAAGACCGAAGGGGACTTCACAGAGGAGGTTGAAGATGCCACCGAAGATTTGGGGCAAAGCAGCGAAGAAGAAGAAGAAGAAGAAGATGATAGCGCAGATGAAAGTGAGCAGAGTTTAGATTTGCGGGAGTTCGCCTGTGCCTTACAACAAGCTGAAGGGCAAATTATTGCTGCTCGAGACAGGGCTAATGCAGGCTGCTCTGTAATTGATTTTTCTGAGGATGAAAAGAAAATTGAAAAATCTACCAAAATTGAAGATCAAACAGGTCAGGGAGAAGAGCCTGCTGACAAGGACTGCAAAGATGAATGCCCTGATCTGGTTGACTTGTCAACATTAAACAGAGAATTCAGGCCTTTCAGGTATGAATTTATATTGATCATTCAGGGTTCTTCAGATACTGGGTTTTTTGCTTGTTTTTCCTCTTTCCAAAACGGAAGCTCCCCAAGCGTTGAGCATATTTCTTTTCCGAAACTCTCCCATCAGATTCAAAGCAGTGGGTGCGTTTTAAATAGTAGCATGTTTTTGTTACAATGTAATATTCAGGGACTAATTGAATAGAAATGTTATACATTACTTGATTCATCACTGGCATGCTTTGACCCTCATGGAGAAATTTTAAAATGATACCAGCTATAATCTCTCGTACATTTTGTACTCATGTCAACTTGCTCCTACTTGATTTGCTCTGCTAGTGGAGGGAGCACAAATTATTCATTGCATCAGGCCCTGCCTTATTGCTGCTTTCAGATACTGTTCCCTCTTCATCAGTTCTGTTGGCCAGGAAAACCTTCGCTAACAAAATTGCCTAAGCTGAGTAGTTAACCACACTGCCCAGCCTGCATTTTGTTTAATGAAATGAGACTTTTATTGGCTTCTTACATAGAAAACTGAGATTGCAAAAGGAGGCTGACAGGTCCTTACGCTGCCTTCGTTGGAAGTGAAGTCACTCAAGGCATGGCAGGCTAGGGCAGAGAGTGAGCCTGTGCCAGTCTTAGTGCCTGTTTGCAAGCAATAAAGATTCAAGAGCACCTTTGGGTCAACGATATTCATGCCATACGAAACGAACGTCCTTGAGACCGGAAGGTCTGTTGAACAAACCCATTTCATTCTCGCAAGTTTTGTGTAGGTGAATATCCTGGTGGATTGTGTCCATTATCAATATATGTTTGGGTGAAATAGTTGCTGTTTCTAAATGTAAATGTTGCAACTGAATCATCTTGGAAGAGTTGACTGGTAAAAGTTGGATTAAAAATGGCTGACTACAAGCATCTGTTCTGTATTGCAGAAATGAGGAAAGCCTATGTCACATCAATGACCACAGGACAAGAACTACTAGCATGACTTCAGTAGGCAGTATGGGAAGTCGTTCAACAATTCCTCCAGTAAGTCCTACATAAGTAATGAGAAAACTGTGGCCCTCCAGAAATTCATTGGACTGCTGCTCCCATCATCCCTAGCCTTGCAGCTTGGGGCTGGTGGAAGTTGTAGTTCAACATCACCTTCCTACTTTAGATAATGCTCCAAGACTTTGAGCTCAGTCGCACAAAATCTTCCCCAGCACGGCTGCTGTTTATTTCATTAGGACATTGCAGGCCAGTGGATTATGCCTTCAGTTAACTTGTTATGTCTCTCACTGAGCTATGACCCTTCTTTCACCTGATACTGATCAGGTGGTGAAGAAAAAGAGGGTTCTTTCTCTGTATTCATAAGTGTAAATGGCTGGGGATTTTTGAAAGCACAATTAGAATTATTCTGAAACTTGCAAAAGTTGTTACCTTCTAGTCAAATCCAGATCCGTTCTTGCTCCTGAAAGCCTAAGATAATGAACTGTTGTCATTGTCTCTGAAGGTCATTAGTTTCCGCTGTTAAAGATATAAAAAAAATTTAAAATATTATCTTGCTCCACTTAAAGCATAATGCCAAGGTTCCAGTGCTTCAGCCACTGTTGTGTGTAACCCAGTTTTGAATCACTGCCACCTCCGCTTTCCAAGCAGGTGGTATACTGCATACAACCAAGGGGTGTGGGGAGTTTCCCCAGACACCAAACAGCATATTAGCAGCTTTGGTTGATGCTTCATGTGTATACTCCATAAGTCTTTATTGAGCTGTGGTGGTTTCATTTATCCTAAAGTGCCTCTATGTGGCTTGTATAAGTTACTCAGCACCTTGGGATACTGGGTGGAGAAAGGTTAGAGAAAACATGGGGTGTGGAGATTCATATTTCATTATCTTTTAACATAGGCAATCAAGCAATATTTTTATTAACAGGTTCTAAAAGAGCCTTGCATTTTTAAATAGTAGTAACAGGAGAATTCTGTTGAAACCCCCCCCCCACACACACACGTCATCCAAGCTAAATTAAATTTTGCAATTAGAGATCATGAATATAAACAGAAGGGTCCTACACATTTGTCGGTCAGATTGAATCTCCAGCTTATCCCAGGGGGGTGGAGGAATCTGCTTTATTTTCTTGGACACCCACCAGGACACTCCCCCCCCCCAACTAGATTGAGAGCACTCTGTCTGACAAAGGCACTGCTTTCTTCTTTTTTCATTACCAACTGGGAATAGTATACCAGACCCTAAGAGTACAATCCGAAAGGGCCAGCGCATTCCACTCCTGGAGCCCAGCAATCTGCTGACAAAAGGGATGGACTGAAAACAATTCTTTGTCTTCCAAATTCTTTAAATTCCTAGTAAATGGTTGCTGCTAGACTAACCAAAAGGAGGGAAGTATTTCTGCAGAAAGGGGGGAAAGCAACAACTCAAAAATAAAAGAATTCTAATTGCACATAGACACTGTTCTTAAGTCTCATTGAAACAGATCATTTTCAGTACTCAAAAACAGTTGCTTGCACACCTGTGTAAGAGATCTTTTTAAGGAAAGACTGGGACAGAAAGGCAGGTTGGAAAAATGCAGGCAAAGGGCACAGAACCTTCCCTATCAAATGCTCCCCTCCCTTGCACTCTGTAGAAATACCTTCCTTTAGTCCTCTTTGCAATGAACGGAGGGTTGTGTTGCGAGCTGGATTTTACCCCTTGAACCATGCTCATGTGTCCACACCTGTGTTGAACCACCCTGTGAGCCTGAGGAATATGGCAAGCTATATTGAAATAAGTTTTTTCTTGCCAACCCCATCCAGCAAAGTGTCCGTCTTCTCACCATTCTGGATACAGGTCCAGCTGACAGCTGGGTCACTTGCATTTTCCCCAATCCTCTTGTTTGCATCGGTGGGTGATAGGGATGCTTATATCAATTTATTTCTCACTGTAAGGTCGCATCCTTCCTCCAAGGAGCTCAAGGCAGTGAATGAGCAGCAGCTGCCAGCAAAGGAAGGTGATTGGACCCAACGCCACGCCACCCTGTGAGCTTTGTGGCAGTGGGGTCTTGAAGCCGCCCAAAGTCTTGCATTCTGATAATTTATGCCCCGTTGGCTCCTGCCTGTGTAGGGCTGTCCTTTTCATATCTGAACCACGGCTCTGTAGTCAACCTAAAGCTTCTATTGACACATTGAACTCAGGATAGCTCAGTTGGTAGAGTATAAAACTCTTAATTTCAGGGTCGTGGGTTTGAGCCCCACATTGGACAGAAGATTCCTGCATTGCAGGAGTTTGAACTAGATGACCCTTGTGGTCCCTTCCAACTCTTGATTCTCTGACACGTGCAAACAAATGTCCAAGTTACGTAGATCGGTGCAGTTTGTGAGGAATTCATTAGTTGTCTCAGCCACAAGGGGGAGTAGTATTCTTCCAAACTAGCTCAAAATTCTCAAGATTCCGAAAATGTTCCAGCTTGCTTTTGCGTGTCTTCCCTCTGTCGTTGCACAATGCCACTGGCCAGTTTTTTTACCCTGCCCAGGTTGTTTAGACTGAGAAACTATTGTTCATTAATTCCAGAAAAGCCGCTGCCTGTTAAAGCTCATTAAACCGTGCATTTGTTTTGTGCCATGTCACCCCTTGTATCCAACCTATTTTGAGTTCTCAAAGGGTCACTTGACTTGCAAGCCAGACCTAACGTCTGGGTTTTGAAAATGTCTTGCAGGAGCTGATAAAACAAAAGATCAAGCGCCAGCTGACGAAACAGCAAAAAGCTGCTCTGAGACGGCGGTTGCAGAAAGGAGAAGCAAACGTTTACACAAAACAGCGACGGGAACACATGCACAACATCAAGTCGAGTTTGGACACAGCCAGCTTCTGGGGCTGACATCCTACAGAAAGATCTTCCTTCTTTCCCCATGCCTTGCAAATCAATGAAAGAGATGGCTTTCTGCTTAACCAACATGTCAAGTTGTATTCTTTCTGTTGTAGCCTGAGACAAGCCTTCAAGGCCTACACTCTGGCAGACCCAAGTTCAGATGCGCCCAGTGAGATTTCTTATTCGTTTTGGTTTTTTCCTTGAGATGGTTCACACTTACTGGAGTGCTTCACTATGCTTGTTGAGAGCAGGAGGCTCCATCTTGCATGGTGGCCCAGATCCTGCCCCAGGAGCCAGCTGGCTGTGTTACTTGGCTTTCAGGAAGCCCGCTTCTAGAGGAATCCACTCACAATTTACTATGCCGCTTTGTTCAGAAACAGAAGCCCAAATACTTCCACAGGCAATAAAATTGTCAGAGAAAGCAAACTTAGGGCAGCGAACTCCCAGTTTTCAGGTGGCTAGACTGAAAATATAACCCATCTGCGTATAGACACAAGGCTCAGTGAGTTCAGTTTAGCACACTCCATCGATTGGGTGCATAGGATTTGTATTGCTTAGATGCCCATGTAAGCCTGCAATCCACCTAAACGTGCTTTTCAGATAGTAGGGTCCATTAGATGAGGCGTAAAATACCGTATTTTTTGCCCTATAGGACGCACTTTTTCCCCTCCAAAAATGAAGGGGAAATGTGTGTGCGTCCTATGGGGCAAATACAGGCTTTCGCTGAAGCCTGGAGAGCGAGAGGCTCTCGCTCTCCAGGCTTCAGGAAGCTCTGCGCAACCCTCCGGAGCCCGGCGCAAAGCCATGCCGGCCTCTGGAGGGTCACGCAGAGCTGCCTGCCCTCCCGGGCTCCGCGCAGCTCTGCGCGACCCTCCGGAGCCCGGCGCCAAGCCGCGCCGGGCTCCAGAGGGTTGCACAGAGCTGCCTGCATTCCAAAGCCTCGGGCGCGCTGAAGAGCGTGCCCGGGCTTCGCACAGCTGTCCGCAAGCCTGGGGAGACCAGCGCGACTCCCTAGGCTTGCGGATAGCAGGCTGTTCTGGGGTCGGGGGAAGCTCGAGCTTCCCCCGCGCCAGCCCTGTGCCTGGGGGGAGGGAAATAATTTTTTTTTCTTTATTTCCCCCCAAAAAAACTAGGTGCGTCCTATGGGGCGAAAAATACGGTAAGCACAAGTTTACAAAACATGGGATCAAACTGCAATAATCTTAAGGAGATGATTATAAGGCTAGTGCAAATCTATGGGCTCAAATCTGACATTATTAGAGCATTCCATAACCCTGTTTAAAGTTACCCTGTTATCTTCACTTTGGCTCAACTGCCTTGCTTTGCAACCCCATATATGTTTACTCAGAGGTAAGCCCTATTGAGGTCAGTGGTACTTCCTCCCAGGTAATTGTGTTTAGGATTGCAGCCTTGCAATAAGTAATGTAGCACCTTCAACAGTATCTTCATTTCTAAACTTGAACAAAGGCTCACAAGCTTTTCATGACTAGCAGAGCTTTGAACCTAGAAGCTCTTACTCGATTTCTCTCGGCACTTCCAAGGTTTCATGCGTAAATCCTGCCCAAACTGACAAGTAATAAAAATGATGTTGCACAGGCCTGGCTGGCACTCGGATCTCTAAGCAGCTCTGTGCAGCTGCTAATAAATTTTGTTCACGTACATTCAACAATGTGCTAGATAGCCTCTCGCAAAATACCTTGGAAACCCAGTAGCCAGGAGCACTTGGCTGAAGTGTGGGTTTAAAGTGCATAAAAGATGTTTATCTAGCAGAAATAGAAGCAAACTCTTGTTATGCTGAATCTACCTTGTTAGTAATAATAATAATTTTATTATTTATACCCTGCCCATCCAGCTGGGTTTCCCCAACCACTCTGGGCGGCTTACAGCATATATTAAAACGTAATAAAACATCAAACATTAAAAACTTTCCAAAACAGAGCTGCCTTCTAAATGTTGTGTAGTTCTTTATCTCCTGGACATCTGAAGGGAGGGTGTTCCACAGGGAGGGCATCTAAAACTGTTACAACTAAAGCTGTATGGGATAAGTTTAAGAACTCCAGAAAGGAGGGGAAAGACTTTTTTAAATAAATAAAAAAAGGTGTGGTTTCTGTAAAAACAATAAAATGTAAATCAGAAATTTAAAGATAATCAGGCCAGCTGGGGCCAGCATATTTTTAAATTCATGTTTCCTTCTATTCTGCACTATAGCTTGAATCACCTTCGTGAAGTTCAGTTTATGATAGTTTCTGTGAGTGTATTTAATATAGCAGCTGAAGTCTTAAAAATGTGGGGTGGGAATAGTTTTCTCATTGCTGAAGTAGCCATACATAGCCAGAGATCATATATAATGTGATCAGTACAGTTTATCTATTTTTAAAATAATTCAAGAACAGAGCATATTACAACAACCAAGAAAAAACATGAGCATTTAGCGGGCAAGAACCGAAAACAGGTTAAAAGCCCAGTGGCCTAAGAAAATTTTAATTGCCCACCTAAATGGGAATGTTGCAGGCCAAAATGGAATCACTGAATTGTACAGCTGGAAGGCATCAACGGTGCCTCGCAAGTGTTGCCCTTTACTTTTCCCCACATACCTGTATGACGAATTGCCGTTTACTGTAGTGGGGAGAGAAATACAGCACTGCAGTACAATGGGGGAGAGCTTAAGTTTCTAATGGGAAGGTACACATTGCCCCAAAGATTCCTGCATTGCAGGGGGTTGAAGGAGATGGCCCTCGTGGTCCCTTCTAACTCTGGTTCTGTGAAATACATTGTGGACTTGCGTGCTGAACAAAGATGCTCTGAACTCAAGCCTTTCAATATACATGCCCTCTGTTCACTTCCATCCTTCCTAGCATATTTGCAGAGAGTTTGCTTGTTGGCTTTTAAAGTCTGAACAGGGATTTATTTTTTTTAATTAAAAAAACTATAGGGTATATGCGTTTCTGTTTCAGGATTAGGGGAAGGGCTGAAAGGTTGATGATGCTAACGTTCTTGAAAGTAACCTTTAACAGATTTCCACAGGAGAAGATAGTTTGCACATGTATGCTTATTACCTGCCTACTTCCATCTGCATCATCCCCTGATGCAAACAGCTGCCACACATTTTAACAAGACTGACTACTTCCATGCCTTTTCTCAGGGTTCTGGACCCTGGAAGCAATTTGTATGTCGCTTGTTAAGCTTTCGTGTCACCTGAGGTCACAGACCAGCATCGAAAGAACTGCAAAACTCGTTAGGCAAGTCCAAGAGAAGCATTAGACTTGGTTGCTTTTGAGTAAAATATTCGAAAGGTTAAAGCGATGGAACATGGGATACCCCACAGTTTTTGGGCACGGTGTCTCCTCTGAGAACGTTGGATATAAGTGCTTGATTGGTGGGTTTTTTGTTTTATTTAAAGAGAATTAGTTTACAGGAAGGGGAGAGCCTTGTATGCCTCTCTCTTAGCCAGATGTGCTGCCTCTGGGCTGAGCACCTACAGTTTGCATGCTATTATCCAGGTAGGGATGTGGGTGGCGCCATGGTCTAAACAACACTGAGCCTCTTGGGCTTGCCGATTGGAAGGTCGGCGGTTTGAGTCACTGCGATGGGGTGAGCTTCTGTTGCTCTGGCCAGCTCCTGCCAACCTAGCAGTTCGAAAGCACGCCACTGCAAGTAGATAAATAGGTACCGCTGCGGCGGGAAGGTAAAACGGCATTTCCGTGCTCTCTGGTTTCCACCACAGTGTTCTGTTGCGCTAGAAGCGGTTTAGTCCTGCTGGCCACATGACCTGGAAAGCTGTCTGTGGACACACACCAGCTCCCTCAGCCTGAAAGTGAGATGACCACCACAACCCCATAGTAGCCTTTGATTGGACTTAACCGTCCAGGGGTCCTTTACCTTTATCCAGAAAATTCATGGTTTTCTAAGCCCTGCAGGCCTCAGCTGCTCCCTCAAAGAGCAGGAGTAGGCAGTACACTGAGAGCCTGGGAAGGAGGGCTCCATTGGATGAACATAATGATGCCCAGGAATTCATCCTGGTAGACCAAGAAAGAAGAAGAGGCGGCCTCAGCTTATGGCAATCCTCTTCTCGCGCACTGAACTGTGTATGCACAGATAGGACGTTTAGATAAGTAATGGGGAGATAGAGAAGCAAAGCAGTATAGCAAGGGATTAGACTGAGTTAATGTGATTTCACATGCTTCAGACTTTGTTTCATTTGGGGATAAAGACAAAGTTATTTAAAGCATTTTTGAAAAATAAAAGTCGTTCCAAGGCATAGCCATAAGTAACCACTTGTCCTTAACCTTCGGTTTTGTTTAGATTACCATACATTTCTCTGGGGATAAAAATGGCTAAGGGAGGAACTCTTCCCTGACACTGTACCATGATATATCTCTTAACAAGAACAGAGGTAGAATTCCTGAAATATCTGAAGTCATCAGAGGTCACTATGAAGTTTATACAAAGGCTGGAACCCACAGTGTTCCATTTCTATTTCATATGTGGATATTCAAACAAAAGTTTACTTTATTTACAGGGAAACCTGAGGAAACAGGGAGGTTAAGTCAATAACGTCCCAGACAGTCCTGAACAAATTCACATATTTAGCAGGTATCGGAGGATTGTTTAATCAACATCCTTCAAATGCATTTTTAATGGCTGCACTTAACAGGGTTTTCGTAACTGGTCAAACAAGTCACGAAAATGCTAAAGACTCTGTATCTTCTGATACAATATTGTGTATATTACCTGACTTTCAGCTATATGGGAATAAAAGCTGTCAGCTATGTTTGCTGCCCTACCACCCTGGCTGATATTTGTAACTGAAAATCAGTAACAGGTGTCATTTTCCCCCCTCCTTACCTCGGTTAAGAAATAAGTCCATCTGTAGATGTTACCAAGCCTCCCTACAGAGAGGTGAACATTGCCAAGATGGGCAGAAGCTCTTTCCTCATTTGTTTTTTAAAAAATACAATACAAAGGTAAGAGTGTGTCAGGAAGCTTCATACAGGCCCGTTGGTCCATGTAATTGTACTGATTTGAGAGATGGCCCTTGATTTTTTGGGATTATTGGAAATGTTTTTGTTCCCTGAGAGGTATTTTTAAAAATTAAAAAATTCCAAGCACTCAAGTGGAGGGTTCTGTTGGACTCCCAGTATCTATCGGCCCCAGCCAGCTCGGCCAGTAGTCAGGAATGGAGGAAGCCAGCATCCTAAACCCCGACCCTAAAATTTTATGTGCTTCCTAACTCTTCCACAGAGTCTGGACAGGATATGGCTTGGCATGGTCAGCCATTTTGTGTTGTCTTAGCTGTCATAAGGGGAAGTGACCCTACATGCAGGCTATAATACATTTCTTTACACAATTTATGTTGTTGCACCTGTTGAACTACAACAACCTCCAACATCTCCAGACGGCATGGCCAGTGTTCAGCGATTATGGGAGTTGTAGTCCACAACATCTGGAGGGCCAGAGGTCACCTAACCTTGCCTTAGTCTACAACCCAAGGACTAAGCAAGCACATGCTCCTATATTTGCTCACATTGCCCTTTCTTCTTCCTTTCTTCCACTTCCCTTCTCTCTTTCATGAAACTTAAGATTACAAGATGCTTGGGGCAGGGACCTGTGTAAACCTCCATATACATTACTGGAGAACAAATTTCAAATTTGGAGGCAGTTAAAGCAATTCTCTCAGGTCCAAACCATTAGCGTGAGGCAGTGGAAGACAGGAGTGCCTGGCGTGCTCTGGTCCATGGGGTCATGAAGAGTCGGACACGACTAAACGACTAAACAACAACAACATTTACTGCTTTAATATCTAATGTGGGGTCCCATATTAGAGTGACCACTTATATATCACCACAAGAGAGAAGACAAATTGTTGCAAAATGGGCACCATGGCTTTGGTCCTGCATACCTGAAGGAGTGTCTCCTCCTCCATCGTTCAGCCTGGACACTGAGGTCCAGCTCCAAGGACCTTCTTGTGGTCTCCCACTGCAAGTAGTGAGGTTGCAGGGAACCAGGCAGAGGGCCATCTCGGTAGTTGCGTCCTCCCTGTGGAATGCTCTCCCATCAGATGTCAAGGAACTAAAACAACTATTTGACTTTTAGAAGACATCTAAAGGCAGCCCTGTTTAGGGAAGTTTTTAATGTTTGGTGTCTTAGTGTTTTAATCTGTTGGAAGCTGCCCAGAGTGGCTGTGGTAACCCAGCCAAGATGGGTGGCATAAAAACTTATTATTCCTACTACCACTACTACCTGCTAATGCAGAGGTGTAAATGTAGAAACAATTCCTATAATTAAAAAGAATACAGCTTATCTGAATGGGGCAGACTCTCCACAGGTGACCTGAGTGCATGCTCAGTCTGTTCCACATGGACTAGCCATTGATGTGAAACTTTGGTTTTAAAAAAAAGGTAAAGGACCCCTGGGTGCTTACGTCCAGTCAAAGGTGACTATGGAGTGCGGCTCTCATCTTGCTTCAGGGGGAGGAGCCGACGTTTGTCCACAGACAGCTTTCTGGGTCACGTGGCCAGCATGACTAAACCACTTCTGGTGCAACAAAACACTGTGACAGAAACCAGAGTGCACGGAAACGCCGTTTGCCTTCCCGCCGCAGCATTACCTATTTATCTACTTGCACTTGCCTGCTTTCGAACTGCTAGGTTGGCAGGAGCAGGGACAGAGCAACGGGAGCTCCCCCTGTCGTGGGGATTTGAACCACCGACCTTCTGATCAGCAAGCCCAAGAGGCTCTGTGGTTTAGACCACAGCGCCACCCACATCCCTACTGTGAAACTTTGAGGCTCCTACTCTCCCTTCTTTATCTTTAAATAGAACTTGGATCGTGATAACCCATCAAATAAAGGGTTGTCCTCAGACAGCAGTACATAAAGTAAGACATCGTCGAGCTATCCCATATTAATCTTCTCATTTCCCTTTCCCTCAGTTATTATTTAAAAAAATAATAATACAGTGGGGATGAATTCTTATTAAGTCAGCAGAAAGTCCAACATTGTCTGCTTCAGCAGCTTCAGTCAATGTCAGGATGAAGAGAGGAATGTCTTTCGCATGCTTTGCTTCTCCAGCTAGCCAGTAGGTGGGTGTGTTTAACAGAGGAAAAAGCAAGGAGGAAGGAGCCTGTCAACCAGCCTCCCCAGCTAATTAGCTCAGCCTACAACAAAGATAAGTGAGCTGGGGAGGAGGACCCCCTGAAGGGTCTTTTGAATCTGGGCAATGTCTGATTGGCAGATGCTGAGGGAGATTCTTTGGTAATCCAGTTCATCAATGAGCTGCATAAATTCAGGACAGGGC